TATGTGTAGACATTTATAGTGTTATATCAACGACTACTAAATTATTTTAATATGAAAATTTTACGAGGTGGATTGGATCAGTTTTTATAAGAGAAGAGGGTAAAGAAGCAGCGAGAACACCGAGATAATAATAAATGCCCTTAGATACAATACCATAGAAACTACAGCTGCATACATTTTACTAAAAATAAAAAAAGAATAGCTTATGGAGTTAGTAGTTTTTTTTTAGATAGACTTTTCCTTAAAACTAGTAATAAATTTATTGTTTATCCAAGCAATTAATTACTGTTAAAAGTTACAAATTAAGTTGTATAGGCATTTGAGAACTAGATTTTCAGGATTAGACTGTGACCTAGACATAGCTTAATAAATTACAATCTATGTCTCTGGAAAAAAATACTTAAATAATATCAGACTTTAAATAAAGGTGACAAGTTCTTGTAAGTTTTAACTAAGATTTTTAATCGCCTGTTCAATTTATTACTACAGTGCTAAATAACAATTACAGAAACAAAAGACAGTAAAAATGACATCTCACTTTAACTTTACGTTTTTATAAAAAGTTTTCCAACTGTGTGACATTTATGTGTGTGACAGAACATGCGAAGAAACTTGTCAGTTTCTTGCGATTTTCTTTATTATTCCGTCACGTGTTTAGTATTTACGTTTAGAAAGGTTTGATAAGAATCTGACACGCAATAATAGCTACCGTATTTTTTATTGGAAATTGCAATAATGTTACGACTTTCCAATTTACTGAAGTTTTGTTGATCATGGGTAAATTCGTTATAGGCAAGGTATGCTTACTCAAGGGTGACGTTCACATTCAAATTCAATTTGTGGTTTATTAAGTTTCTTTTTACCTTTTTAGGTTTGCTCTGACGTAAAGGTAAGTCGCAAGAAATAGCGCGGATTTCGAACGTTTATAATAAAAAAATAACAAGTTGTTGGAAATGACATTGAGCAATGAAATATGCTGTGTAAGCAAGTTTTTCATATCTTTTGTTATATACTTTAGAGTTTCAAAGTAAATATATCTATAAGAAAATATCAGAAAGTATATTACTAACATAAAAGTATATATGTTTAATTTAAATCTTTAGCCAAATACTAGATATAAGCATACATATTTATAGAACTAACCAGTAAATAACTATGATGCAGAATACAAATTAGATGTTGAAGACGCTTCATGAATATTTGAACAAATACGCTGACAAAGTATTCAAGACAGTCTCGGAACAACAAATTTAAACTTTTCCAATAAAAAAGACATCAACGCGCTCAGTCACATTCATAATGTTCGATTATTTCAAACTTCAATCTATTCTTACAAAATTCTTCATGTTAATATGAAATTGTTGCTTAAAGTTTGCAGTTAGTGAATGTTTATAACAAAGTCCTATAATTGGGTCACTTAGCCTCATTCGTTTTTCGTAATTTGTTCTTGTTCCCTAATAAAAATAAAAAGAAGCATATTAAAAGTTATTCTCGAAACAAAGACTAGTTAAATAAAAAATTAAAATGAAAACGAAAGTTAAATAAAAAATTAAAATGACATGACATAATTTTCGTAAATAATCAATAAGGTACATAAAATTACCTATACAAATTACTTAATATTATCCATAATACGTATTGGTATATTTTTTTGTTTTTCAATTAAATTTAAATGAAAAGGACATCATTGTATGACAAATTAAAAAAATATTTTTACCATATTAGATATGGATACATAAATTACATTAATTTTAGTTTATCAAATGTTAGGACTTACTTGCTAAAGCGGCGACTGCCGTCAATACGATGAACACTTTCATGGTGACCTTTTGATTATATTATTTAAAAAAAATATATGATAAAAAATACAATGACTAGATAGCGGCCCGACCCCTCTGGCGACCCTGGTGAGACTGACGAATATTGCCTTCGCGCGCGCCTTTTCTTCACCTGACCTGAGTATGCGCTCCTAAAACCGGTACGAAGACTATGTGATTTAACTAATTATTCTATCAGTAGAACTAAAATTATTTAAAACCAAATATAAGTATATATTTAAACAATACATATATAAAACATCTGTAAAGATAATGATTGGATTTATTTGATACAGTTACGATTGCATACGTGTCATAAAAGTGACCTCATAGCCTTATATGCGGTTAACTGTTCTTAAAGCACAAGTGGCGTAGCGTGCATAACAAATAGTGCATTGGTAACTACTTTGAATTGAAATATCTAGGCTATTATAAAGCATATAAGCAATTAAATTATGTACTATAGTAATTAAAAAACTATATTTTTATACTTCTTTCAAAGCGACGGGAGAGGTATTCGAAGGTAATTTATTCGTTCATTTTTTATTTTTTTCTTTATTCGAAGCACGTATTGAGATGTCTAGTACATAGCCGAGCACCGTTCACTTCGACATACCTTAGTTTAAATTTCATGTTATTCAACTTTCCAGCGAGTCGATCCTATCTTTTTTTTACCTTTATCACCTCCTATTTTAAAATTTTCATAGTGATTACGCAACGCCAACTCCTTGTTGAACAGGTAGTTTTTACTATGGAGTAATGAAGAAGAAGAAAGGAAGTCTACGTCCAAATCGTGGTTTTCCACTCACATAAACTTGTATGAAAACATTTTATCACCTCCCTCATTCTCTTTCAAAGAAGCCATGGAAAAACATTAACATAAAAGAAGTAATTACTAGAAATTCTCGAGTGAAATTATATTTAGAAACGTGTGAGTGTGTAGCCATGTGTGTCTATTCTTGTTAGATTCTATGCGTTTATGTTGGCACAATGATTTGTTACAAGGTCTCATATTTGATCCCTTCTAAAACCTAGTAATGTACTGAATAAAAGATTGAGTTTTTTCTATAGTCATTAGAAAAAAATCTGTGGTTTTAAAACTGGCATCATAAAATATACACTTATAGAAATGAATTGTATACCTCTTAATTGAGTTTAAACCTTATTAAATAAGATAAAAAAAAGGAAAGACATAGACATAGGTAAACTGAGACGTTAGAATCAGAGCTTAATATAGTACACAAACACATGAACCTATGTACATGTAGGCATAAACATTGTAAGAACTTTTTTAATTTTCTAAGATACACGTTATGTCGCCGAACAAAATATCAACCATTGTCTATAGATGCAGACGCATAAACAATAGAACAACGTACGTGTGATCTATTACAAAACACATCTCAGTAAGATCTGAAACCGGAACTGAGACATAGACATCGAACATTATCAAACTGCATTACATCATGCGTATGCGCAGACAGCTGTATGGGTCAGTTGTGCGGTTTTGACTGTCTTGTAACGCAACGATGACACGACACCTAACAGATGTTTTGACTAGGCGTGACATTATGTTAAATGTCAACTGTCTATCGAAGTAGTAAACATAACTACTTAATATAATTTACTGCTTTATAAAGCAACAGGAACTCAAATGAGGGTGAGTGGTCTTTCTCGGGACCACTTAAATGTAAAGTCCAATCTAAACCAACTGATATCCAAATGATATGTACAATTAATTAATTTAATTTGTGAAAGTTTACTACTATACACCACACGTTTTAAATTCATATATCGACATTATCTGTTAAAACAACGCTTACATTAAAAACTAATTAAGATCTACCCACGTTACATCTAGACAACACTACTTAGCACTTGAATTATGTAATAATCATGCAATTTCTTGTATCATACGAAACGTCATTTCAAAGAAATTGATTAAGTAAAGGTTTGCTTTGCTGCAATTTTTTTACAGGAAACATTTTTATAGCGTAGCGTATCGTATCGTTGCACCTTCGTATCGTAGCACCATGGCTATGAAATACCGCGTCAAAGAGTAAGCAAACTACATGCCCATCAAGTGTCTCTCTCGGGCCTACCTTAAGTTTTTAAAATGAATCTTTGATCTAGAATAGAGATTCATTTGTTTAGACTCTAAATAACAAACTTGTAACAACAACTAAAACTTATGACTCAATTGGAAGTTATGTAGTCAATGAGATTAGTGTATATTAGTAATTTATATAGGTTGTTCATCCAGTAGGTAACAACTGAACACAAATTTAGTTTGTGACTGTACTTGGTGACAATATCTTGATGAATTATACTTATGTTTTTGTGTTTCACGACGTGGAATTAAAAAAAAGCATACTATCACTTCTTATACTGAGTTATGTCAAATGATTAATATTTCGGGCATTCTTAGAAAATTATCTTCGAGTTTTATTAGTTCAAAAGTTAAATATACTTAAGAATGTTGTTATGCTATATTCATTTCGTATGTTGATCCAGTAACATGTTGCTAAGGTCAACTTTTTTAATATTCATATAGAATTAATAAACTATTTAAGGAGATTGACTGCTTCATAAGAATATGTCGTTTGCGTAAGTAAAACCGGTTTAAGACACAATGATAGACGGATCGCAGACAATAAGAGTGGGTCTAACAATGCATAATTTTGCAATATGATCATTTGAAGTGTTAAAGATATTGTAATAATCTTCATTTGAATTGGTCCCACATATGTTACCTTTAAGACAAATGCAAAATTAGTGATGTGCTAATTTTAAACTCCTAAAAAACTCACCAATTACTATCCGTTATTAAAGAGAAAAGATATACAAAAATCACTGATTTTTCCATCTAGATGTAAATTAACTCTAGAAACGTTTTTTTTTAAAGAAAGTTATGATCCTATCACGACTGTATTGGATATTGAATGTAATAAAATCGATTCAAACATCATATTTATTTTGTCCCAATCGATAAATCAAAATTAGGTGGTATCCTATTTAAATCTATTTAACAGTAATTAAAAGCTATAAGTGGAGGTCAATTTCCGTTAAAAATAGTACAAAAAATAAAATTATTATCGTATTTTATTTCATAAAATCGAAAACCACTGCTACATATTCTGTGACAAATGTTTTGTAAATGTCATCTGTCAAATTAGAAAAAACAAAAACATGTAAACAAACATATGAAAATCATGACATTCCTTGTCTGACGAGTTGCGGTTCCTTTAAATTAGAAAATAATTTGCAGAGCTGACAAATTATTTCTAGTCAAATCTTAAGTTCCACTGCTCATTATGATTATTGCTCTGCAAACCTTGATTTACTTTCGCGAATCATTGCTTATTATTTTAGATAGACTGATAGGGCCATATTATAAACGCTTCAGTTTTTCACTGATCAAAAAAAGCAGCAGCTCGGACGATGAAGATTCTGATGAGCAAGTTTTTTCTGAATTTGATGATGAAAAAGGAGTGATATTTTTTCCGCCGATGTACGTGCAACGATACGCCGCTGTCAATGATTGCCTTTTAGATGATAGATGGATTGGAAGATTGGAGAAGGTTTGTTATACATAATTCTATAAACAAGCAACAATTCACAAGGAGATATTAAAACATATCAGTTTAATGTTTTTTCTATAATTTCCAGATTGTTGACCTTGGCTATCATGATATGACCTTTATAAAGTACTTAAAAGAAGTGCCTGGAGTTAAACATATCCTTGGTGTGGATATTGAGAATGTATCTCTGCGCTGTTCACCTGATGTCATTTGTGATGGAGAGTATGCACCTATGAGAGAAACTCCACTACAAATAACTGTATGTATCGTAGATTATATCACTTATGTAAATGGTAAATTATTTAGATCTTTATGTCTTTATCAATTACTGTACATAAGCAATAAAACTATTTGTTGCTATTAATTGTTGATTTATACTTAGGTAGAAATATCTTATGATCCCTATCATGTTTCAACTCCAATCAGAAAAAAGTATCAAATATAGTATTAGAAAGGAATAGACTATATTGTATTTTGAACATAAATTCTTTAGTTTTCATCATCATCAACTTGCCCTTATCCCTTATGGAGGGTCGGCACAGTATGTTCTGCGCTTCCATACATCTCTATCAGCCGTCTACAATCCACTCCTTTCTTAAGCATATCCTCTTTCACACAATTCATCCATACTTTCTTCGGTCTTCCACTTCCTTTGTAGTCATCCACATTCATTCTTAACACTTTCAGGTTTATGTCCCCATCATACTGTCGCATAACATGTCAATAAACTAAAGAACATAAATTCTTTAGTTTTGTATAAATTGAATTGATGAGAATTTGTGAATTTGTTTTTCAGTTGTTTGAGGGCAATGCAGCAGATCCTGATTACAGACTGATTGGTTGTGATGCTGTGATTGCTATTGAAATGATTGAACACATGCTACCTCATGATCTAGACAGACTGGTACATAATATATTTGGTTTCATCCAACCGCAACTTGTAATCATCACAACACCAAATGCTGATTTTAATGTTCTCTTCAAATCTCTGGAGAAGAATGGTCTTAGGAGATGGGATCATTTGTTTGAATGGAGCAGGGAGCAATTCAATGACTGGTAATACTTCTATTTTTTATTACACTTAGATGAATGACATCACTGATTTTTGAATAACATTTCAATAGATTCACATTTCTTTTCTGTAACCATGTCACAGGTGCAGTAATATTGTATCAAGGTATCCAAATTACACTGTCACTTATAAAGGTGTGGGTCCTGGCCCTCCCGGAACACAGCACTATGGTTGCTGCACTCAACTTGCTTTATTTGTTTCAAAGAATTATCAGAAACAACAATCCTTGACTATAGATAGCATGGCACTTGTAAAAAGTAAGTAAATATCTTGTACATTGTAAAATAAAATAAAATGAAATAAAACAAAATAAAGCGACATTTAATCCTTAGCAACACAACACAATCAGAAATAATAGAATTATAAAATTTAACATTTATACTAATAAATGCACAAGTTTGGATGGGTGGATGTTACTACATCTCCAAAACGGCTACATATGTAGAACATAGTCTAGAAGAAAACTTAGACTACTTACTAGGTTTATTACATTTGAACAAAATTAACAATAGCAGAATAACTCTTAGAGGTTATATACAATATTTGTCTTCATCTAACTTAAATTTCAGGCCTTCCAAATGACAATAACTTGAGTGATATAGAAAGTTGGGATTATCCTGATTCAATACATGAAAGTAATATGTTGTGTGCTCCACCTAAGTGAGTATATATTTTTTCTATAATACTGCGGTTAGAAAACCAAATTGTTATTTAAATGTGCTTTAAAAAACTGTCTATTGTTCATCTAAATCTATTAATGCTATATTACCAATCTTAAATATATGTTACCCTTCCTAGTGAGGAATCCTTTACCGAAATCCCATTCCCTGAGAAAAGATCTTGTATGACTATTGTTATACTGGGCTCACCTCCTATTGATACTTTAGTATACAAGGATAATATGGCACAGTGTAATATAGACAGAGAAGTCGGTAGGAGCTACCTCATGTTTGACGAGGATGTGTCTGAAAATGTTGTTGTACCTCGGAGGAAGGTTATTAACAAAGTTTATGAAATAGAAGATGTTTCTAGCAGGTTATTTATCTGGATTTTCATATGATACTCAAATATGAAGACACTGTAATTGAACAAATTTGTATTATAAAGTGTTATGATTGAATAGATTTGTAAATGTGTAGTTTATAGTGATTGTAATTGCTATCCATTTTATGTAATGTAATTAATTGTTTTTGCATTGTTTTGTGTAGCAATTTCATTGCTTTCTGTATTTAATACATTAATACACTAGTTAGAGATTCTAAATAAACTTATTTTTGATATACATTACTAGTTTTCACCCGACTCCGTCCGCGTGGTATTAAAAAAAAAACAAAAGTACGTAGCCTATGTGTTCTTCCAGACTATCCTCTACATCTATGCCAAATATCATCGAAATTCGTTCACCCGTTTAGGCTACAACAAACATCCATCCATCCATCAATCCATCTAAACTTTCGCATTTATAATATTAGTAAGATTTATTTATAATTTATTTCAGATTACACTGTTCGATGTTACAAGTGAGAAAATTCTCCAAAACAACACAAAATTTGATGGCAAAAAATAAATTAGATTCAATTATGCATACAAGAGAGATTGTGGATGAAATTCGACAGTTGACCAAAACTCTCAATTTGAATAGAAATACTTTAGAACAGCAACATAAAGTGTGCACTTGGAATAATTTCAATTGGGGTGAAAATGCACCTTATTGGAATCAATACTATCGAGTTGTTAGAGATTATAATTATCCATATGAAGTAAGTATATATATAAACCTCACTTTAAATTTACATTGAATGTTTTATAGTCGAATACTGATACGACATTTATCATAAATGATAAGGCCATTTATACACCGAATCCCATTAAATTTTTTTCATCAGTCAGATTGTAAGCAGTGCTTACGACGCGATATGTTAAGATATAAATCTATGACAAAATAAGAAAATTAAAAAAACTTTCTTTAGCAAAAATTTAAATATAAGGTGTTTCAAAGAAAATTCGATTTTTTGAATGTTTTCTTTGCAGATAAAGAGTGAGGAAAGCCGTATAATTGAATTAATATCTGATGAAATAAATGAACTGGTAGATTCTCAGATCTCTTCGGAAGGTTCAATGAACAGTGAGAAAATGGAAATACCTTTAGAATACCTGATGCGTGCTGTTGAGCATATAACAAACGACATGGAAAAAGTCAAGTGAGTAGTCACCTTTCTACCGAGCTTATTTTATTTATATACTCTGTGGCGATTCGTAGACAATTTAACCCGAAAACCGACCAATCAGAAGTCATTGGTGCCACTGTTGACAAGACAGCCACCTGATTGGTGGAATTTTAATATGACGTATGATACTGGCCGCTGAGAATGCGTACATAAAATGTGTTGGTTTTTACTTTTTAATTTAAATATTGTTTAACGTTCTAATTCTCAAATTACATAAATGACATATATTATTTTCATGCATGTTTATCAGGGATCTACTCGAATGGAACGGTTACGAAGTGGTGGACAACATTGTGATCCACTCTCGTCTGATCGTGGAGAACGTTTCCATGGCAACCCCAGAGAATGACTACCAAGATGACGCATTCTCCGATGTAAAGAAACAATTTGAATTTGTAGATGTTGATGACGTCACGTAGACTCTTGCCATATTGTTTACCTCATTTTTAGTACTTTCATTATCCCTTTAAAGTAAACTCGTTAGAAAAATAAGTAAAAGTGTGTGATTATAGAGGTGTGTTTGTATAGTACGATATAAAAGTGCTTGTTGTTAATTTTTATCTTAAAAAGACATTGTATTTTGATCAATATTTTGTCAATCTCAAACTATAACCAAAGTGAAGGTAAAATCGTACAGACACAGTTACCAGTTTAGACCGGTTGTGCTGGTGTAAGCCGGTTTTTAGCAGAATCGCAGCGTCCGCGTCATTCGGCCAGTGGTTACGGCCGCAATACCGCTTGTAGTAGTTAAAATCTTTCCGTTTGTATGGTTTTTATCTACTTATGTGCTATAACCCGGTTAGTCCCGATAATGTTAACAAATTGACTGAATTTCAACTGATTTGTACTGAATAAAGACTGTTTTTTTTTATTTATTTCTTTATTTATCCATTTCATTTAACTAGTGTAATTTACTGTAGTTAACTGGTAAATTAATAAATATTTTGTTTTTCTAGTGGGATATGACGGAGATGCATTCCACTTCGTATTCCATTGCAAGTTCGAATTCATCGCATCCGAATGGTTTGTGTCATTGCACTACGGTCATAGATTATACAACCATACTGATCTATGTATCAAAGAGTAGACATGGAATTATTTTATGGTTTCTGTTGCAAAAATATAGATACCGGTGTTAAGGATAAATGATAGTGATTAATAATATTTAGGGCGTATTCTATTGTTAATTTCCCCTACCCTTTACTTTAGGGACGAAGGAAGGGACTTTGAACCATAGTAGGCCCAAGTTCCACTAAGTGTGAACTCGCGCGGCTTTCATTTCGTATAGCAATCGCGGCACCAGTGGAATTGGGATAAGCGACTGACAAAAGCGATACTGGTTAAGCGTTAATTGGGTCTTATTCAGGTAAATGGATGCAGCGCTCGTTGGACTTCAAAGTTCGCAAGTTACGTAACTTGCTGACTGCAGACGAAGATATAAGCACGGAGCTCGACCGCGTGGTCTGTCGACTTATGAAGCTAGCTATTACAACGCAAAAGAATAAAAGTATACCACCCCCAACCTCCTGGCTTCAGTGCAAGTTGCTCGATCTTCTCACGCTCACCGAAAGGGCAATTCAAAGGAGAAAAAGATATTGTTTCAGCCAAAATCTATCTTTTACTTTTGGCGGTACGAATCCTATTTTGTTAAATTATTTTAAGTTTTTTATTTTACTTAGGGACTTTACAGCCGGAGAATCCAAAAATAGTCAAAAAATTGCAAACAGTTTTGCTCCAGATATCGTACATGTCGCTGCGTTGAATAATTTTAGATACAGCGTGACATGTAGGGGTGCAAAGGAGATGATTAAATCTCCCTTCCATACAACAGCAAAATGCGCATTGTTTGTTGGCGTCTAAAATATTAGAAACCGCTAATACTTACAATTTACTTAAGATTAAATAAGGAAATAAGAAATAAACATCTGTATTATTTTATAACAATACTGCATGTTTTTAAAGATAATCCAACGAATCGGACCAGAGAGTTAGAGCCTCCCAAAAGTTACGATAATGATTCAGCGTAAGTAGAGCTTCTAGATTTCTTTATTACATGTCATATAAACACTTATAAATCATGCTATATATTTACAGGAAGGAAATAGTGGCGAAATATAGTCATTTTGTAGGAACTACAGGTAAGATACCATTTGGCAATAGCACCTGCGGGCTCTACCACTGGTAATTTTAACGACCTTCCTGTTCACCTTCAAAAGTGTAGTGAATCATAGAGTATCATTCGATACGTTAGTTATTTTAATAAAAGAATAAATAAAAAATACCTTATTGTATCATCTACTACAGACGAAAAAGATTACTACAATAATACAACGGTCGGAGCGTACGAGTATGTACACTTGGAAGTAGAAGACGGCGATATGAGCGTCACCAGTAACGAATTGGTTAAAGGTAAGTAAATATAATTTTCAAATATGATAGATGAATATGTTAATTCTTTTGTTTTTACAATAGTTTACGGTTACAATAACCAAGAGTGCAGCGCCTCTCCAAGTTACGATAAATTAAAACATAATGATTCTAATGCACGGGACTCTTCGCCGGCAAGAACATACCCTATCACTGATAACTATTCAGGAGTAAGTAGTTCCGGTGATACCGACCATAGTATCAAATTAAGCACAGACAGTAGAAGCAAGAAATTGAGCAGAAAAAGTAAGAGAGAAACAAATAAAGACAAACATAAAATTAAACTATTTATCAAGAAAAGTAAGAAATCAAATGGGAAAGAAAGTAAACCTAATGAGAAACATGCGGATAGTACAGAAAAGAAGATATATTTCAAAAGGACAATCAAGAAGAAGAGTTTTTGTAGATGTACAGTTAAGAACAGCGTTTCTTCTGCTGAATGTGAACGTAAAAGAAAGAGTAGACAAAATTCTCAAATGAACTCTATTTCAAAACCGGTATGTTTGAATCTCTTAAATATCTTAATGTTTATACACTAATAAACAAAGTAATAAATTAAGATAAACTTCACACTTTCATTTAAATATAAAAATCCAGTGCTTATGAAATGTTATGGTTTAATTACCGATGACAATTGTTAAATAGTATATTGAGCTAGCGCGCTCTATCCTTCGGCCGCGTCTTCACTTAGCTTAGGTGGAGTCGTGGTCAAGCGCTGGTTTAATTATGTTAAAAAAAGAAAAAAAAAGAAAACTAGGTTCTGAAAAATTACTTTGTTTTTATTAATATTTTTTTATAGATTCCTTATAGCTTGATGGACCTTTGCACTTCAAAAGATGATGAAACCAAGAAACCAGTTGACGATTTTATACCTGTGGTATCTAATAATAGTGAACATATTTTACCAAGAAATCAAGAATCCATTGCGATTACTGAACAAAGTTGTGTTATAGAAATTGTTACGAAAAAAACCAGTGAAACTTTAGAACTTCATCGAACGATAACCACGGATTTAAGTGACAACATTTACAAAAATACTTCACTTCCTTTGGAATTTAAAGATAAAATAAATATCGTGCCGATAATAACTAAAAGTGAAAGGTCTATTCCTGACTTTACATTAAAAACGGAAAACGAAGAATCTCAAGCAATATTTTTATACGGTAACTATATTTGTTTTTCCGTATAAGATATAGTCAACTGTCATACTTATTCTTGAAAACGTTGTTCTAGATATTAATGAACCCAGTACATCAAAAGGCATTCGTCATGTCACGATGGACGTGCAATGTGGCCCTGATACTGGATTTTTATGTTCATATTCTTCAGCGACATCTTTAAACAAAATTACAAACGAAAACACGAATACAACAGATTTGAAATCCTATACTGATGAATGTGATCAAAGCCATTTTTATACTAAAGCTGAAGAGAATAAAGACGTAAAAATTGATAATTTATTAAGCTCTAGATACAAATCCAACGGTATTCAAATAAAAGATTCCGACAATGAGATACATGAGAGACTAGAGATTTCTTCCACTACTGTAACTAAATCCATTCATAATATTAAATCTGTTAACGTCTCAGAAGAGAATATCTGTACTGCCTCCATTAATGTAGTTTCTTCTATGTGTAAAATTGAAAATGAAATACCAAATATAACGAAACATGACGACCCCATCCCTCAAGTGCCAAAGAAAATAATAAATAATGCATATTCAATTGAAGACGATCAGTCTAAATGTACGTCTAATTACTTGGAACCGATTATAGTTATACCAAAAGTCATAAACAATACTAAGACAGAACAATTTTTAAGGCAAGAAATCGATTTGAAGAATAGTATTACTAATATTGGTAATAGAAAACTGGCATACGGTGGCATATTTATACATAGCTATAAAGAGAAAACAGCAAGTGAAGATGTATTATATCAAGGAAGATGGCAACGTTCGTTCTCAAAATCGTTTATAAAGAAAAATCCCGTTAGTACTTTTACTGTAAAGAAAATAACAGAAAGTCATCATAATATAAAAAGGAGAAATTCTGAACGTAGTTTGACTGCAACAACTGTCGAAAAGACAAATGAACACAACAGATATAGTAAAAAGATTCGAAAACTAACTGATCTACTAAAACCTAAAAAGGATATTAGTGTGTCAAGTAATGATAAAATTCGACCAAAAAGGAAGCCATCAGTCGAGTTATGCAAACCAAGGCGTTGTAAAACTTTAAGCGAGGTAAAACTATTATAATTCTATTTTTAATTCCTGAAAAATTTCTTAATTAATTTATGTTTCATATTATAGGTAGCATCCAAGACGGTACGGTAAGTTTTTTTTAATCATATTCCAAACGTTTTAGTACGATATTTCTACGTCGTGAGGATGAATTGCTTAGGTTCTGCGATACTTATCCTGAAAACGAAATACCACAAAATATGTTCACTATGATATAGTGTAAGACGTGTAGTTTATATTTATATTAATGTTTTTAGTTTTGACTTATCCAAAAATACAAGATTTGAACGAGTAACTGTTAAAGCTAGCAAATCTAAGATGTATCAAAATTGTACGAAAGATAAGAAAAAAGTAGTCACTTTTAAAGAAAGTCATAGTAAATACGATCTCAACACCAGAAATAAACTACTAAAGGCCATGAATTATTCTGTAGAAAAGAGCAAAAATGAGATTCCAAAAAATCTATCGAACACAATAAACATCAAAAAAGAACTATTGAAATTTGTTCGAGAACCACACAAGAATATTGTCTTTTCTGTTTTTCGCAATAAGATTGAAAACGAAACTGATAATCAGAGACATAGTAAACCATCCTTGGATAATCGTAAAAACAAGGAACATAAAAGTGCCCGAAACATACCGGTCGCAAATAGTTCAAGTTCATCTACAAACAGCATAGTTACAATCAGACAGTTATCGCCACCGTCTCAAAATAAAAAAAAGTTTACGTCTAAGATTACCTTAAAAGTAAGTAATATTCCAAAGCCAAGTTCCATGAAAGAAAAACTTAGTATACCCGAATGTTACAAGAAGTCATCTATAATGTTTGATGATAAAGAGAACAATCCCCAATCGTCTAATGTTAGCAATGTTCAATGTAACAAAGACAACACACAAACTGTCAACGAAAGAAGTAAGAGTATCCTTGTGTCGAGGAATACGATGTTAAAACAGAAAAATAAGACCTTAAGTATCAAAAAGTCTATAGAAAGTATAGAAGAGACGCTAGGGACATCAGATTCATCGAGTTCTAGCAAAGTTTCGTTGGTCGAGTCCATCAAGAACCAAATTAATTTCAACGCAAACTCATCAAATTTAGTCTTAGTTTTGGGTTCTTGTAAGAAATTGCCTACTATGGAAAGTGAAAAGGTATCTCCAGATATATGTTTATCTGAAAATAATCAAGAGATAGTTCCACTCACTAGTATAATTGAATTAACATGCGAGAACAATGAAAGAAATGCGTCAAGTAGTACCTCCGAAGTAACCGTGTATCATGAAATGAAGAGTGTAGTGGATGAAATACTTAATTTTATTGACGACCCGGCAGAAACTTCTATTGTAACTAGTGAAAGTAAAAAAATGATTCCCGACGACCGTAAGAAAAGTGGTGAAAAGGTTCACTTCTATAACGCACTTGATAACGAATCCATCGCGACCTCATTAGATTCGGGACCAAGACAAGTGAATCTGGATTTGATTTCATTTAAATCATTTGCTTCTCTATCGGGTTATTCAGAATACTTCTTAGCCGATAGTGAAATGAGTACTACAATCGATTCTCTACAAGTAAAAACACCATCTAAGAGATCATCAGTTCAAGATATATTTGAAAGAAATGACCAAACTCGTCTTTCGGTATGTTCGTTTACATTTGTTCTATCCGATTGTGTTCTGAATTTTAATAATGACATATAACTTTATATAGTTTCCAGGAGATTCAGTTCAAGGCTTTAGTGGTTTTTCAATAAATGAACAGGTAATCGGTGATCAGCCAGATTACGCCAATTTAATTAACCCCGAAACGGGAAGTATGAGTCACGTTATGGAGACTAGGAGAGCGGTGAGTTTCTCTTCAATGCAACGACTTATATCAACGCCTCTAGCAGTTCTGCTTTGAAGAAGCGTTAATATCGTTGTTATATTAAACTAATCGCTTTTATGTTAGTAATAGTTGGCCCTTTTTATACATTTTGTTAAAAAGGTTAAGTTTTCAAGGGTAAGGTTAAAGGTTTTACTTTTTAAAGACATCGGAGGAAGTATTTACGTCTGGTCGTTCCTCGGATACATACGAATCGTGTCAAGTCGACGAGGATGCTCTTGTCCCGCACTGGTTATTCCACGCTATAAGCCAGCAGCAATCAGTAAGTTATTTATCTTTCCTGTTTCTCGCAAGATACAAAGAACGTATAAAACTTTAAAGATTATTTTAGCACAGTGTATTAATCAATCAAAGCGATGGAGCATTTGTTTGTAATTTTAGCTGCAGCACTCAGAAATTGTTTTTTTTTTTATTCATTAAGCTACCTCTTAGTGTAAAATCCCCACAATGAACTGTTTAAAGTACCGTATTTTATATAAGTCTAAGGGCCCGTCCCACCAAATTGTAAATTGTCTGATAACAATCCATCGTTTAAAATATGTCATGGAAATATCGGATTTTGTTACCTTATCTGACATACCATCATTAAGCTAACTAAACCTCTATCAGCCAGTTGTGGGACAGTCCCTAAGTAAATTGGGGCAAGTTTGTAGAGTTATCTTCCAGGATGAAGATAGAGAGCCACAGCGGATTCTATCGCCAATTCCTCTGCCTACTGTGGAGCCAGATCTAGACATGCACGCCAATGCGATGGAGCCAGGCGTGGGGGGTGCGGGCGGCGCTGGCGCTGGTGACGGCCGCGGTATCCATAGCGACCAGGACAGCTCGGGTCGGGATACGTCGATGAGCTCCACTGAAACATCGTCTGGACAACAGAGCGATGTATGATTTAAATTTTATTTTTATTCAAGTTTTATAATGTTTTGGCATTTTTGCAACAGAAGTACAGATTAATTGCTAAAATTAGTTTTCGTTTTCTGTGAGAGAAAGAGAAACTGGAAAGAAATAATGAACAGACAGTAAGAAAGATGTATTGAAATAGGATTTTTTTGTAATGCAAACAGTAAGCTATTTAATTTCTATTTGTAGGCAATATTAATCGATCCATCAGCTTATGCTAATAATATCGAGTTTTTGAGGGAGCCCAGCAGTCGTCCTTTCCTTCAACTAGGATCCACCGAATCTCCGGATTCATCGTTCAGGACTGTTGAAGGTATTGCACTATTTTAACTTTTAAAAGTGATCGCTTTATGATACATTTACGCTGTCGTTTATCAAAAAAACTAGGTCATTTAAAGTAATTTCAAAAATATGTTTTTTTTATACTATTTAAATTTAAAGACAATAATAATATACCAAGTGTTTTAAATAATAGTAATATTATGTAATCTAGCTCACGGTGTAGACTTTTTTTTGTAGCCTACTTTTACAAGAACTTGTTTGCAATGTCATAACCAATGACGTATGTCACTCCGAGAGGTCAAACCACAGACTATATAACCGTAATTATATAACAATGTTACATAACAAAAAATATTGGCTTTTGATCCAGATATCGAAGGATTGATCTTATTTTTGGCAGTTTATGTGAAATAAGTCGGATAACGTTGGAATCGAAATGATTGTTTTTTTTATTTTTTATTAACATAAATGCATGCAGGATCGGAAAATGATAACGTGTTTAATATGAGTGAAGTTTCAACGCGAAATAACTTGAACCTTGGCGCAGTACAGAGTGACCGGGACGCTGACGTCAGTTCTCTGGATACGGACACCGCTGATTTCTCTGATAATTGATTTTGTTTTGTTTATGTATTTGTTTAAATTGACAAGATTCTATGTCATTTCAGTTTTTTCTTTGGTCTGATATTAAATTGAATGATTAAATTCAGAATGTCTTTTATTTATAGCGTTTACGCGTAATGCGGCTATCGTTTTTGCGCAATTAAGATATAAAATGTTCCAGTTTTAATGTTCACTTTCCCTTGAAGAATGAATTTTTAAGACACATTGCTATGTATTGCCTTTTGATGAATAGCGTTTAGTTTATTTGGTTGGTAGAATAAAAAAAAATGTCATAAGTAAATGAACACAACACAGTATCGAGGAAATTTCGTTTTTGCATTTATTCATATTGTACAATCTTATAATGACTCATTCTGCAAAATTTTACAGGCGACCAAGAATTCATATATAAAACAGCAACTCCTTTCGTATCGTACATAACCTTTTTACCAGTATAGTGAAAACATGCGTATAGTATTTAGTTTTAGGATAATAAATTACTTAAATACTAAATTTAAGTTTGGTTCTTTATTAATACAATATCAATAGGATTGCACTATTTTGCAAAGTTATTGGAACGCACAAAAAATACTATGGTGCTCTCTCGACGCCGATGAACTTTCTATGCTAAATATGCGATTATTACAAATTCGATATAAAATATAATAATTGTCCTAAAGCAAGTTACACAGTACAAGGCAGCTGGTACATTCCCGGACTCTGGCTTAACTCACTTCGACCAAGCTACGTAGCTAAGCAGAGCAGGCGCAGTTCAGTTTACATGTTAACTGTCTGACAACTTCAATACTTAATGTAACTTAACTTTGATTACGTTAATGCTTCTATATACGTACTTCAGTTCTTGTCTACATCTCACTAATCGTCATGGAAAACGAAATGAGTTAAGGCAGTTAAAGTTTTAGTAAAATATTTCGATCATTTTATTAACTTGTGTCGTTTATTGCTTTAATATTAAAGTGAAAATGTTATCTAAGTTAATTCTGACTTTATATTCTACAAACAGAACAGATGTAATTTATATTTAAATGAAAATATACTATTTGGGAACGTATTAAAACAATTTAAATTGCGCCTTATCCTGTAGTAGTTATATAACTATTACATCAAACACTTTCATTATTAATTTAAGGCAGTGAAACACCCAACGTAAATCAAGGAAGTTGGGAACGAGATTACCTAGCTAACATTAATATTAACTAGTATATATCACTAGACATTTTCACAGGCGACCTCTACGTAGCGGCCGCGTAATATATTACAATATTTACACATCTTAAACTCGTATGTCGATGCAACACCGTAACTTGCAGGAATCACGAACGAAAGCGGGACGCTCTGTTACTCTGCACCGCTCAGTCATCGAAAGTCCATCGGCCAATGTATCCCTAACACTCCACTCACCAATGAAAGAACGGAAATCTTACGGCTATACAATAACAATGTAAATATATGAGATACACGATAAACAATAAAACTACATAGAATTCTAACAATTGAGGGTAACAATTTATATGCAAGATTCATATTTTGATAAAAAACAATTGAATGATAAAATAGTTTTGTATTTGCGGGTAATATTTAGGGCTCGTGGTTCTGAAGTTAGCTCAGTTGTGGTCAGTGTAACACGATACTGATGAACCTCGAATCTCGAATACCGTAACCTCAGAGAGCGGCAGGTGAATTCCAATACTGATTTAACCTCAGAGCCTTATTGAATTTAGATTTTAATATTAATAAGTCAAGAAACAAATGAATAATAAATAATAAAACATCTCGAAGCTTAAATACTTTGTACTATTAACAGAGGTAAAATATAATGAATAAATAATTAAATGCTACTATTGAAACTCGATCATGGTCACCATAACTATCAACAGCCATAATATGAGAGTATTAATATTCGAATCGACTAAAATCACTACTATTACAGACGTCTGCTTTGGTAACAAATGATCGTAGCGACTTTGATTTTACGCAATCCAATAATATTATTTGAACTTTTCGATATTAATTTTAAGGCAAACGGTTTATACTAATGACGTAGAAAATCTTGAAAAAATTATAGATATTTGAATTACAAAATCTTATAAAGGTATTAGACCCCTATAAATATGAGATCAAATTTAACACATAATTACGCATTACAATTTTTCAGGTACTAGTTAGAATGTTTAATATTGCTTAAGGTTTTTCACTTATTACTAATTACATTGTATAAACGATATTTCTGTACTGATTAAATGGGATGAAAATATTGCAGCTCTTGTAATAAACGTCAAAGATTAGGAAATTAAAAAAGTAAATAAGCATACCAAATCTGGTAGAAAAGCTTGCAGAAAAAAGTACAATAAAAAATAATACATGTATACCAGCAAATAAGATTAAATTTAAGGTCAAACTTTTTTATTAAGACGTCCCGCTAATATTTTATATTGATTCTTATAAGAAATAAACTTTGCATAAGAAATAGAAAGTGTAGAAAGTTTTCAGAAAAAAAATCATGTATGATATTGTCACTATTATTTATTTTATTTAATAGAACTTCAATGTATTATTAAATCCTATAAATTGGTGTCTAGCTAATTATTAAAGTGCAAAATATTTAATTCACGTCCTAATATAATCAAAGTCGCCAGAACATTATAATATCTAATTATCGCATAGCGCCATTGAGAAATTAACTTCCCTATGCAATCACACTGTTCTAATAATCATTCCCATTTTTCACATTTTATCACAGAAAATTATGTATTTACAATTTTGTCGTAATAAAATGACGTACGTATTCTAGTTAGCCGATCAACAATGTTCACTGTACCTCGTGCGTACAGTCAGCTACATATAAATTTAGACATTTATAAATCAGAAATGTATACGCGTTCAGTTTCAAAAATGCTTTAGCACATTTGTATGCACTCCAGTAACGAAAACTTACAAATAGATTTTTAAAACCGAAGGCATGTACAAGTTTTTTTTAGTAAATGTATACATGTTTATGAGGCTGACTGTACACTATTGTATGAGGATGGACGCGCTTATTGAAATGAACATAAGAGCTGGGAATAAGGATTCCGAGCATGTGATTTGAAACATAACATATAAAAAAAATAACGAATATTTGAAATACATGGAATTGTATTTTACAAACGGAATAACAAATAACGCATTAGAGAAATATTTCAGTGCATCTCATTCGAGTTACGTGTGACTTTTCACATAACTCTTTTTACATTTCTAATTATAACATTTTGTACTCTTTTTTTGAAACAAACTCACAGTAATGTTTTAATTTAATTCATGTAAACAAAGGGATACAATAGACGGGAATCTATTGAAATAAATATAGCGATTTACTTTGACGTATTGAGTCGTTATAACCGATATCTAAACCATAACTGCATTGAGAATTAATTCACTTTATTGGGAGATTTAAATAAGAAAACTTTAGAAGCTGTTAACAAATTTGATACATTTAGATTTTGTGCCTGGCGATTATTTGTTTAAATATTATTTTAAAGACATACATGATTTATTTTTTTTTTAAATCTTAACAAGAGATATGAAAACGAAACAGTATTTGTTGCAATAAAATATGTTAAATGGACAGAATTTAATAGATTTTGAGAATAATATCAACCAGTCAATATCGACCAGGCTACAAAATCTTTCTTATTTCTATAAATATTGAACAAACAATTAGCGACTTTAACAGATTTTTGTCACATTTGGTTTTGCCGAGTTTTATTTTAAATGTAGTTCTATATTTTAAAATAATTATAAGATCATTTACTTGGTGAAGTGTGCTGAGTAAATAGTGATAAATAATATAATAGGTTTTGTAACAGAAAACATTACATTTCATCTATATAAACTTAACCACCAAATGTAACAAAATAAAACCTGCCTATTGATTGGCCTACACACGATTTAACAATTTACTTAATATGTAATTTAATGTTGAAATATATTTTCGAAGTTTACATATAATCCATAATATTTAGTTTAATTGTTTTTAAATTTAAACAACGTAGATATAAAGCACTCGGGGGAAGGACAGCAAATTCAATAAAAAATGTTTATTTATTTATTTTAATATAATGTTAACTAAGTAAAAATTATTTGCTATGTAAATATTTTATACAACACTAGTGGTAAATTGTTCGACGATGAATTACTAGTGTTCCTCCAACGTCTAACTCGAAGGCGAAACGACGGGGGCGGAGCCCGGCGGCTCGCACGCCCCGGGCCCCGAGCCGGGCGTTTCGGCAGGCGATATATAATGTAGATTTATATAGTGCAAATTTAATATAGAAAGTTTACTTTTACAATACAGACTAATAATTTCATTTTATGTAAAAATCCTAGCGCAAACCGAGTTGCCTGGCACTGTATTATACAACGATTACCTTAACCGTAATATAAATTAAAGAGTAAAATTTTAGCGAATTAAAAATTAAATTTTCCAAAACTTTGTAAATACTAGAATTTGGATTTAGCTCATGGATACACGGCGCCGGCGGTCCAGTAGAGACGTCCAAACTCCTGAGCAACGAGAGTCGTCTATAGTACAAATGTTCACACGTTTGCCGGATACAGACGAGATCGTCCTGGCAATAGAGGAGCCGGGCGGGAGCGGGGAGGGGGGAGAGAGTCCGGCGGTGCGGCGAGCGCGACGCTTCAGAAGGTGTGTGCGTGCGGCGCCGCTTCGGCGAGCCGTGCCCGCGCCGCGCGCACGTCCCGCTGGGAGCGCGCGCGGCCGCGCTGCTAGCACCAGTCATCCTCGTCCGAGTCTGAGTGGCGCGCTCGCGGCTTGTACCCGTTGGGCAACCGCGGCGCCGGCACCGGCGATGGCAGCGCCCGCGGCCCCGCGCCGCGACCCATCGCGAGCGCTGCTTCGTACGACAGTGGTGCTTCGTACACTCTCCCGCGCTCCGAGTCGTAACCCCTGCCACGTCTACAACATCGTTTGCTTAATGTTAAGATATCAATGAGGTTGCAGTTTCCAAGAGTATACATTTTAACACGGTTGATTCTAGGGCTCGGTATACTTATTTCATAAGCTGTTAAGAAATTAACTTTAGAGCACAGCTTTATCTACACGGAGGATTGGCTAACAGTTACCATGATGACTCCAGTGAATATTTATACAGAGTGCACTTATAATAACTATGCTACAAGATGTTTCTACAAAAGAGTAGTACATTTTCTCACCATAAGCTGTTAGATTCCGTAGGCTAGGTTTTAACTTATGGATCAGAAAATTTTAATTAAGCAATTGAGAAACTACAGTTTAATAATAAACCTTACCTTTCCCTAGATCTATAATCTCGGTGTATCAGTCTTTCAACTTCTCTGCCATACTCATACTCATCATGTATAGGCTCTACAGGTTCTCTGACTGTATGCCTTAACGATAACTGAAAACAAATAGAATCGTTATATTCAATAGTGATGGCGTTGATATTAGCAGTTTAACTATCGATAGTTACGTGAGAAGGGCTGTGGCTGATTCTTGTGAACGGTTGCTGTTTGACTTGCAGCGTGGACGGCTTGGTGGGCGTGGGAGGCAGCTGGCGGCCGCGGCCTCGGCGCGTGCCCTCACGCTCCCACGACCGCTCGCGCCACTCGCGCCACTCCCGCTCCCGCTCCCGCTCTCGATCCCGCTCCCGATCTCCACCTATGGATGCCCAAACTGTTCTTTGAATAATTTGCCCGTTCTACCTTATGGCAAAACGCATTGATAATACTACATGAACAAAGTAATTCGATTTTCCGATAAACATTCCATAATATAAAAAAAATAAATGATCGAATTTGAAGGAACATTTTTAAACAGATGTGCAAACAATTTTCTTATCTAGATTGCCACGCTTCTTTAAATAAGCAAGCGTCTCTTTCGCAAACGCGCACGAAGCCAATCTTCATATTCTTGTCATATCAAAGCATAAAACAAACAGATCGACAGCAAAAGGTCTTGGATTCAATCATTTTTACAGGATAAAAGCCAAATTTTACACAAGGTCAGACCTTTTGCTTTACAATATTTTATTTCCTGTTAATTTTAAATCAAATATAGGCACAGTATCTATAAGTTTTAAAACATAGAGTAATGACGATTTCGAGTCTTAGTATTTGCAATGTCGAGTGAACAGATATGATATAAGAGTGATTTGGAAGCGAGCTCGAATTAAACAATACATCCTCAGTGTTAGGTCGCAGCTCTATCGCAGAGACGGTAGAGACGTGAAGCGCATTGCGTGTCGTAAGTAGTGAGGTGTCCGATGTGTGTGGTGGCGGGGCGTGGCGATGGCGAGTGGATCTCACCGTAGGTGTGGTGTGGCGGGCTGGGAGACCGCGAGGGCAGGCTCAGGCTGGTCGTAGGATGCGGCGGCCTCCACTCCTTCCCTGCCGTCAGGAATACCTTCATGTACCTCCACGCTTTACCCTAAGCCCGTCGGTCAATACCCGACCTAATTTTCTTGCTCACAAAGGTGACTCTAAAAGTTTTGGGTGTCTGTCGAAGGTGGTAAAAGAACAGAGGTCGTGGACACGGAAATGGTAAACCAAGGATTGGATTTCTTGCTTTGTATGGAATAAGTTGTGTGTCCATATGTTGTTTTCCATTTTGTTTTGACATTTTTTTTGTTATACTTCTATACAATGTTTTAGGAAATATAAAGGTCTCTAAGTTATCTACATAGAATATACAAATCTGAACTATTTGATTTTTAAAGCTTTTACATGCTGCATGAATAGTTTTGAATAACTTAAGTACATGCGCTTCAGGTTTTGTTGCTTTAAAGTTTCTTTATACCAAAGCCATTTAAAGAAGGTGCAAATATATTTATTATGCTATCATATAATTATTCATTGGGCACCAAAATATTTTCAGCATGCAGCAGGCAAAAAAAATCCAATATATGTTTAACTAATTTCTCACGCAATTTCTTTACAAATATAAATAACAATATAATAAATTTTGAGGGATGTATTAATATCAAATTGTCACTTATTCTAAATTTTAACAAAACGAATCTGATCAATCAGTATATGTATAACAATAAATATTTAGCATATGATAGAGCAATTGTAGAACAAAACTAAAGTATAGCTACTAAGGTTTTAACAAAACTAGCTTTGTGAAATGTTCAGTATAGCTATACATAACCTAGCTAGGTTACAATCTAAATCTAATTTCACCAACTTATATAATAGCACGACGTCTTCGATCGTCGATCTTAAATCTACTTCTACATTATTACTATCTACGTCTACTATTAAGCTAAACTTCTCGTCTTCTCACAAAACTTTCAGAGTACCTTCATGAGAAGAAAAATGTTTGCAAAACTGTTTTTATCGATTATTTCGAAAGCAAAATGAATTGTTATGGTTAATCTAGTTATTTATATGTGAAACAAACTATATGAGTAATGGTTATTAATTATTATTATATACATAGCTCGGTATTCTAATTTAATCATGGAGATATTATTTATATAGTTTGCAGTAGCTCGCTAGTTCAATCTGTTGCTATGTCGTCTTAACTTTATGACAGATTCAAGGTGATTTTGGGAGTTATCTCGTATAAAGTAGCAATTATTTTAGCTATTGTATTCCACCTACCATGAGGATGATAGTGGTGCGGCGGTCGATGCGTCCGGCCGTGCCTCTGATGCTCGTGTTTCACAATCTCGACGACGTTATTTACAGTGTCGGAGAAACCGATATCGTGATGATAGCCTCCATAATGGCCACGTCTCCGTGGGCTCGGAGTCCGTCTGTGTGTTTTTAAATTGTTTAATCAAATTGAAGATTGTCGATCTCGATACTTACCAGAATCCGGTTAAAATAAACAGTTAAAACAATGCTAATATACAGGATTAGTAACGTATTAAAGCAAAACGCAAACACATCCAGAAGTTATTTGGAGAATTAAACGATAATGTTCTATAATTAGTACAGCACAGTAATAATTAGATTCATTGAAAGCACTTATTTGATTTAAAATGATGAAGATAGTGAATTTTTTTCGTGCTGTAAGGGTCATCATGTTAGTACCTTATATTCGGAACATTAATAAGAAAGAAATGAATGAAATTCATTTTTTTAACCGTAACCGAAAATGATGGTACTAATTGCCGAGATTCTGCTTTCCAGGTATTTGTTATATTACCAATAAGGTTTTTATGCCTTAACTACCATTGACACGTGCAAATTGTGACTTTCTCCAAAACCCTGCATGCCTTAGTGACAAATATATAAGTCATATTAATACAAAAAATGATTACTTTTGACCCGTTATAAGATTTTTTGGACCGAGTGGACATACCCGTGCCTTGATACGATAATTTTCACCCGGGTCATAGTGTGGATGTCACTATAAATGGAAAATAAAAATCATAAAAACTAAATCGCTACGAAATTAAGAAATAAAAAACATCGAACCACATTTATATACTCGTATTAGGTACCTCAAACTTGACGATCTCCCATGGTGTCCGTTTTGGTAAGCGTGTGGCGGGTGTAACCTCGCTTCGTCTAATGATTCCATAGACGCATGATGCGAACCAACATCTTGTAGTTCCAACACCTAAAACGTTTAATCGATCAGTTCATGATTCTTTATAACAATCATGTAAAACGATACGATGTCTAATATTCACGTCAAAACTTACTGTCCCATATTTACAAAATCTGCATCAATTCACAACACCAACTAACACCAAGTGTTACACATGCAATGCATTGCGTGCTGCAGGCACTAACATCGATTACGTACTTACCGAATACCTTAGAGCTATCAAAGATTAAAATCATGCAGAAAAAATCTAAAGTGATCATTCCATGCAAAATATTATAACTCTAATTGAATTTTTGTATTTGTTACTCAGTACAGGGCTATCTGTTATGTGGAAGTGTTTGTGTAACAATTCTGGAAGTGCTGTCTAAGAAATCAATAAATCATTGTTAATCCACCAGACAATAAAATACATTTTACATCCACAAACTTAGTAGAATTTGCTAATTATCATTAAAAAGTTATAATCTATAATCTACAATTTCATAAAAAAGTATAAACCCTATTATTACTGATATTTTTACCTAAATATCAACAACCATCTGTAAATTTGAAAGAATTAATAAGTATTTTTACACACATTCTATTATATCGTGGGTCTAGGCCCCTAACTAGCGTCATTTACAAAAAAACTTAGCCTAAATTGTCATCAAATCTTAGCTAATACAAACATTATTGAATACATTTAAATTTAAACTTTTAACTAACAAAACATCGAAACAGCCGTTTTCTAACATAAAACAACACCAACTATCTATAACAAATGGTATGCATCGGTACGTTTGTTACTAAACGACACACCCAATAGCAGAAACGTTAAGAAGTGAACATTTTTAACCCAGAACATTAGAAGAACAAGTTATTTAAGTTTCCAATTGCATTGCAAGGTTAATCCAACATTTGTTAAGTAGGAATTTTGATAGTAGGAATGATTTTTTTTTATTTCTTTTAATTATTGATAATGATAATGATCGGGTCAACATGTTCAACCTTTCAGAGCAAGTAGTCACCTTTTTATTGTTCCTGAAACAAAAGAAACAATTCGTTAATACAATAATACTCCTCGTTTGAGAAAGCCGTACATTCGGTGGCTAAAACTTACTTGAAGTATAATACTAAAATGAAAAATAATCTTTAGACAACAATACCACTCTTAACATCAGGTGGGATCTATGACGTCGTGGGGAGTTTTAAAAATAATTACTTCGTTTTACTCAAATAATACTACAACTTACTTGAAAGATCTTCTGGTGCTGCGCCTTGCGAAGTTAGCTAAAGTATGAGGATCTTCTGGATGGCTCTCTGCAGTGGTAATGAGGGGTCCTTCTTGACTAAGGGAGCCTGTACGCGATCCCGGTCCCAGTCCCGCGGCCACGTCCAGCAGGCAGTTAAAGAAGGACGCCTTCTGCACCACGCACCCCAAATCACGCACCCACCCCAATACAACTCACACTTGCGCATTCTCATGTCACTCCATGTATGATGTTCTCGATGACAGTATTCTAAAGCCTAAAGCCTACATGAGTTTGCGCAAACATTTCTTACACCATGTCCATGCTGGAGTTCTTTGATTGCAGTGTGTATGTGTGTTTGTAAAGTGTTAACAGAATTCCAACGAATGGACAGTATCGGCAGTAAAGACGAAATGACAGTCACCCCTGTTATGAACATGAACGCAGCTATCTGAGAACACAACTGTTACATGTTTAATGTAGACGTGTTGAAATAATCCGTGGTGTTTGTTCTGAAAGTACAAGAAAATGAAACGAAAGAAAAACCGAAACTGAACAACCAAAATATTCGAGGGAGATAAAAACGAAAAAGCAGATTTGGTGCCAAATTTGAAATTCTGTGCAATTTTTTGAAGCCAGAGAAAGATTTTTTGCTGCATGAAAAGATTTGTCTTTTTTATGCATAGCTTTATTTTCACCATGCAAATGCTCCAAATAAATTTATTAACAAATAAATAACAAAATATGTTATTGGGACTAAACATAAAAACAAGTTGAACTTATTTTTTTCCTTAAATTAATTTAACAGGCTTCTAAATCCGTGATTGAGCCAAGATGTAATTGCAAATAGTAATTTAGTCTAAATAAGTGCGACGGAATATTCTGTAGGTAACATGTAGTATTTGGGACATGCACAATCCTCTATTTAAATTATAATTAATACTGAAAAATCATTGGGCAACAAGACAATAGAAGCAGAAAATGGAAACTGCTATACAAACAAGAAATGCGTTAGACTACAAAAGACACAACTCTAATACTACAAGAAACCAACTCCAAACAACTCTTCACACGAACACATTTCTAAATACTAAATACCAATTTTGCAACTATAGGACAGGTCTCTAATTTGTGGTTTAAGATGCCCTGAATTTTTAGACAATAATGTACTAAATGAGCACAAAATTGTCTAATCTAAAATTGGAAGTGCGTTTTGACTAGATCTATTTATTAAATTATTTCTTTCACTAAACTACTAGATTAATAAATATTAAATTTTATCTTTGTACCATTATGTCTTTATGTCTAGTACAATAAATTTGTTATTTATTCAAACAAGATGCGATAAAGTTAGAATAATGAAAAAATATAAGAGAAAAACTAGTACAGTGCAGGAAAAGTTAAATATTCGTTCCTTAAAGTTTTAAATACTACCGGCTGATTGGCCGTAGGGCTATTCTCGCTGAATGCCTGAAAATTAAACCACCAATGTAGTCGACTCGATGGAGTCGATTAACTAAAGTGACTTTGTATTGTTGTTCGTAGTCTGCTAACATTGAGAGAGGGCCAATTGACAGTCAATACATTTTAGAGACGGTAGTTAATCAAATAGAACATCGATCACAACAATACATCCACAGGAAGACAACACAAATTCTAGTTAACTAGCTATTAGATGGTTATTCATTAACTAAATATAAGGAACAATTAGGGGATTTTAACAAACACTACTCTCAAAAGTGTAGTTAACCTACCCACTGAAACTTACATTTGGCTCAAAGTTACCATATCTGTGCAGTTTTTACAATCATAGCCAAACAAATTACTCTGGCTCCTTAAGATCTACCAACACGACGAACTTGTAGTGTCTAAGTAACTTCAACATAAGAGGTAATAAATACGGTGCGTAATAAGTTTTCTAATACAATTTCTTACCGGAACACCTTGAGGCTCTGTCTGACCAAACCTAGTTGACCTCCAGCTCTCTAGAATTAGCAAACCAGCGTAGATCTTCCCCACAGTCAGTTTCCCAGCGTTTAGAACATCGTTGCGAGGCACCAGCAAATCTAACATCTTCTTCGCTTGGAGAGGCCAAATCTGTGTTATCGTCTGTCTTAATTCCTGGTCCGCTTGATCCATTTCTTCAGCTTTATCGCAATAAAATATTACAATTTACATAACAGTGAATGGTAAAAAAATTACAATCTACGTAAAACTCTACTTACCAGATCTCATTTTAATATTAAGATTTTCTCTTATTAAGGCAAAAAGCGTTGTTGTAAAATTCACTTTCCCCTCTTCATCTAGCGGCATATTCATTCGTATTAATTTTTTATATGCTAACCTATTTGGACATTTGTTACCAAACCCCAAGGGCGGATCCATATTCTTCAGCATATCATACATTTCTGTGTAATGGATCTTCCCTCTGAATAAAAGAAAACAAAAAGTTTTTATTGAATTTAATTTTATGTACTGTATTGTAATTATAAGTACATACGTGGCGTTTGGGTCGTATTCAGCCCATATTCTAACAAATTCATCAAGATGATGAGCTCCTAATATAGATGAATCTCTTGTTAAATAATCAAAATTATCCATAATAACAGCAACGAACAAATTTAACATCTGAAACAAAACAAATTGAAAATATTTCATAAAGGAAGAGAATACAAAGGAAATTATTTTTGATACTTACAAGAAAAGAACAGAAGAATATAAAAGAAACAAAATAGGCGTAGGCGAGAGTGCTGCCACACTCCTCCTGTGGTGGTTTGCCGGCTTTTTCATCACATTTGGCAGGCTTCAAACAATCTAACATAATATTGGGCCATGACTCTCCCGTCGCACATCTAAATACAAACAAATGAAGTTTATAGTTCATCTGTCTTGTCAACCATCCAACAATCAGAATTTGTGACTGTTGGGAAAAAATTTAATCTTAATACTAAATGGTATATTACCTGAACAATAACATAAGGGCCTGTATAAAACTTTGAAAGTTGTTATGTCTATTCATAGCTGTTTCCGGTGCATTTTCTATGTTACCGAACACCTGTAACCAATATCAGACATTTTTCAAAAATCAGCTTCAATTTGTATCATCCTATATTATATTACTAGCTAGAATTAAAAAAAATCAAATGCAAGTAGCCTATGTGTTCTCCGGACTTTCCCCTACATCTCAGCCAAATTTCATCGAAATCAGTTTAGCCTTTTAGGCTACAAACTCTAATAAAATCCATCCATCCAAACTTTTTATACAGCTCTTGATTTAAAAAGAGTGTTCTAACTACATGAATTTATTGTTTACCTGCATTCCAATAATAGCATATATGAAGAAAAGCATCGCGATGAGAAGGCACACGTAGGGTAAGGCTTTAAAACTCTGCACGAACGTCCACAGTAGTATCCGAATGGTGTAGCCCTGTCGGAGCAGCTTGATCAGTCGCGCGGCTCGAAACAGGCGGAGGAATCCGACGTTGAAAGTATTCTCCTGGAAATTTTTGCAATACCATTGTCACAGTTATACTTAGTTTGCCCATATTTCTTGTACGGGCAAAATTTTTTGTTTCTCTGTTAACACGTTTTGTTTATGCAAAGTTCGCTAAAAGATTTTCTACCTCTGCAAGAGCCGAGTGAACGACTTTTTAACAGGATATATAATGTATTTCATGATTTGTCAGCTACATACTTATCGAATAATCTTATTTAATTTACTAAACTTACGCTACTTACAAATACGAATATAAACAGTTATTTATGTATCGAAAAATTACAAATTAATAGAGGAATGAATAGATGAATAAAAAATATATGTCTTGGTTTATTTCTACACATATTATACGATTCTGATATATTTCGTTACTTGGGAATTACTTTATTTAGTAAAAACTTCATTTAAGTTATGCAATTCACAAAGGCTTAATTAAGGCTGAGTACATTTACAAACATAAGGAAACAATCGACAAATCTCAGTAATGACATATTTCAAAAATTAAATTTAAAACTTGATATTTTTACCCATAGAATATACCGAACACTAATAAAATCCCTCGCAGCGATCAATAGGAAATCAAAGAGAAATATTTAAATAACACAAAAAGAAATAAAATTTTGGTCTTTAATATTCCAATGACGTTTAGCCAAAAGAGACTAAGTGAATTGCAAACGCAACAAAATGCATGGTAAAGCAATAATTTTAGCAACACTACAATTATTATAAATGGTTTATACCAAAACAACACAGGATTACTAGAAATTCTATCACACGTTACTAAACAATATTGAATATGAAGCTCTATTGTCGATCGACCTTTTTATCCAAACACACTTACAAACTAATTAATCTAATATCATCTAAATTTCCTAAACGACGTTATCTTTAACAAACTTTTACGAAAATTTAAATGTAGCAATTACTAAATAGCGATACTTTCTATGTTCCTTTGTCATAGGACATTCGTATTTAACAATGTTATCTAAACAACCTCAAATACATAACGAAGATTAATCTCTTACTAAAATAGTCTTAAATCTAGCACTACCAATTGTTATTCCGTCTCAAAACTTCATCTAAATTCATTACAAATCGGATCCAATGACTAGACTAAAAAAACCTAGCAGTCGAATAGATTAAACTTTTACCTGCTGACAGGATATGTCAGCACAGTTTTCTGCAAGGTCGCTCTGGAATAAGGATATATCCTTTACATACTCGTAAATATCCAGAAATCAAAGTAAAGTAGAAGTATCAACCACGGTTATACACAAAAATTTTTAATTAACACATCGAATTTCCACTAATGAAATAAGCACAAAACGTAATCTCTTTCGTTCTTGCTTTAAAATCAGTGATAGCAATATATTTTGTACAAATGTTCCGCCAGTGGAAACTCAATTAAAACACAAAATAATAGAGTACTTACGCCAAACTCCATTATAAGAGCGTCAATGATGCTTCCAATGACCGTTATGAAATCAAAAATATTCCATGGGTCTTTGAAAAAATTCTGCAAACATAAGAGTAGATTATAAAAACAAAAAACTGTACTATGAGTCAATGTATAAATATTGAGTCTTAACATTAACCAAATATTTTGAACCTTATTTGAATTAAATAACCATTAGTTGTTAACATTTTTTTATGAAATCATTTTAAAAAACAAAAACTTTGTACCTGTATACAAATGTACGCTTTCTGTATTAAATAAAACAAAGTAAATAGGAGAAAAAAAGGATAGGACGAGGAGATTTCTCTCAAATTTCATTATCATAATCTAAATAAAGATTTTAAAAAAATCTAGGCGAGACGTATTAACGTGAAACTGTAAAACTAGTAAAAAAAAACCTGTGTTTAAAAGCGGCATCTCAAATCGATCATATCTCTAGTCTCATTCAAGTCAATGTTGAACTTGTAAAGCTAAACTATTTTAATTTAAAAATGTGTTAAGTAGCAAACGCATTACAATCACACATTGGGTAAAAATCCGAATTAATATAACAAAAAAAAAACATTGTTACTAATATTTATGTCATTGGGTGATTGATGCTTTTGCACAAAACTTTTCGATAACTTAATAGTAATAAAATTCCGCGTATAGCTTTTTAAAATTAAAAATTGTCACAAACTCTTACCGTACATCCGAAGGCAATGAGCTTCAAAACGGTCTCGAGTAGGAAGAAGAACGTAAAGACGATGTTCATGAATGTTAACGTGTCCATGAGTACTGGTGGAGCCTCGTGAAACTACCACAAATCAACACCAATATCTTTTAATGACTTACAAAGTCAATGCAGTTAAGGCCTCTTTTTCACTAGCGTTACTGACTATGCGATTACCATTCCTACAGCCGTAATTGGTGTAGAAATAGCTGTCGCGGGACATCGCTTAGTGCAAAAGAGCTCTAAACGCTATAATTCTATCTATACAAAAAACAAATGGCATTTAACTTTTTCTGAATTTCATACATCTATCTTTCTATCTTTATATAAATAAAAACATTTGTCACATCATGTAACGGTTGTGTGTATTTGTGTGTTTTGTTTTTGATCGAATATATGAGCCAATAATTGTGTAGTTTGTGGCTACGTGGTGCACGTGCTTCATGCGAAGCTGACATAATCATGCTCAGTTACAACAAACACATGTGACTCCAATATATGGCAGTTGTTGAAAGCAATTCACACATTTAACAATTTCAATGAATATACATGGGTTAATTCAATCAGAAAATATATAAACAAATACATCGATCACTTACCTTATAAAATCTCGTATCATGTAATACTAAAGATAAGCGTTAAATTACAGTTGTTATTAGTTATAGCATTTGTAAATATATCGTGTACATAAAGACATGCTATAGGCCATGCTCAGATAATGCGTCGATAGCATTTAATGTATAGTTAAACATTTAGAGAGAAACCAGTAGAGGATGGTCGGAAAGGAATATCGTACGGTTGAAAATAATTCCATACAGTCATGTTGATAGTCGAAGGAAAGTGTACATTTGTATTAGTTGTAACATAATTGCAATTTATTTAACGAAATGTGTCATCTGATGCTTTCGTGTACTTACTTTGACACCGTAAGCGATGATTTTCAACACCGTTTCCACGGAAAACATTCCAGTAAACCCCATATTCGAATACTTGAGGATATCCGAGTAGAGGTCGTTTTGATTATAGTACTGCCAGTTTGTGATCGCGTGTCGGGGAAGCCCAATAAAAATACATTTATGTTACTTGATATTAAGTAAATGGTATGATAACAGGAAGTATGATTGTAAAGTATGGAATTGTAATAGAAAAATAGGGGGGACGAGTTAAAAATCATAAAAAGGGGGAGTGGTCTAGATGGTTAGAGTGCTGATTTGGAGTAATCATTTATTAAAAACAAATAAACAAAACAGAAATAAAATAATAGTTTTGTATAGGAATGGTCTAAAGTCTATACTTCAAATAAACGATAACCAAACTTAAAAAAATGTCATGTTTAGATGACATAATATAAAGCGTCTATTAAGTCTGAACTAAGGCGTTGAACCTAATCACAAGTTATAAATTGATTATAATCTTTGAAGTTAGAAGCGGTCTCAATTTAGGAATAACATTTCGACAGTCTTGTCGCTCTACACTCATGCACTTACGTTACACGACAATTATAAGGTTTGAAACAACATGCAACACGAACAACATCAATGGCACGCATGCCGCGGCCATACAGAACCCCGAAACGATGTGCGTTTACAAGCACCACAATATCAAATAGTGTAATCCCGATGTGCCGTGGATGTGCATATACTTTTCGATATAACGTGCATTATAAATACATATATAAGTTACAGCAAGCGAGGAGACACAAAAAGGAACACGTAACAAAAATGAAAACAAAAAAACAAATAGCCCTGGCTTACAATAAAGGGATAGGCTAGGACAGATTTTTGAAACACGGCGCATTCCATTGCAGTGTGTGTGTGACTTGCCCATATGTAACGCGATGTTTTATGTCGTGTGTGTTGGTGTATGAAAGTGTATGTAATGAGAACAATAGGCAGTACTAGCTTGCCAATTCATGTTTTAAATTCTCAATCCGATGACAGTATGGAAAAACAATACGATAAGGAATTAGAATACACAGATACAAATTACATTTAAATTGTGCTTGCAGACATACTAACGATTACGTCACAGATCGCCAAGCCAGAGAGGTATTTAGAAAAGTTTTTTTTGGTTACGACTCTCTAGTAAGGCTTAGTGCGGTCTGATATACAACACATAAATACCAACTTGGATTCTAATCTAACTTGTTATGTGCTTTGTGATTTCGATACACCTTTTCTGTTTCTATCAAAAAGTGTTAGTGCATTTGTTTCTTGATTTTTAAACGTTCGTGTTGTCTCATGAACAATTTATTATGACTTAATTTTATATAATTAATCGTATATCGTATATGAGTTATATATTGTTGAATACATACCTTCATCATGAGTAATAATGTGTTAAGGACGATGAGAGTCATGATGAAGTACTCGAATGGCGTAGAGACAACTATTCTCCACACTTTGTACTTAAAACTTCCTCGTTTACTTGGCATATACCTTTCAAGCGGTCGTGCTTCTATCGTGAAATCGATACAAGATTTCTGTAAACATTAAAATAAATCATAAATTTTATCAAGATAGGATTTAGTTCATTTGTTTCTTTTTAAATACGTACCTGGTTTTTATCGATTTCACCATCTTGTAATTCGGCTTCGCCCTGCTCTTGAAATGTGATAATTATAAGAGCTACGAATATATTAACAAAGAAGAACGGAAACACCACAAAGTAAACAATATAAAATATGGACATTTCTATACGAAAATTTTGTATGGGTCCCCTGTCTTCATACGTTGCCGCCATTGAGTTTTGCAACACTCTGTAAAAAAAAATTATTGATTACAATGCTATATAAGATTAAAGAAAAGATTTAATCCGATGTTATAATCTATGGCACTTATAACAAGGAAAAAGTTAGTGTAACATTATGGTACTACATCTTTGTAATCTTATTGATATATAAATGCAAAAGTTTAGATAGATGAATGTTTGTTAGAGTTTGTAGCCTAAACAGCTAAACGGATTTCTATGAAATTTGGCATAGACGTAGATAATAGTCTGGAAGAACACATAGACTTTCTTTTATGTTAATTCCACGCATATAGAGTCACATGCGAGAGCTAGTTTATAATAACAATTTAAGACACTGTGATTGCTTCGGTAGGTTGGTAATATTGCTTAGGAAACATTTCAAAACTCACTGTGGCCATCCTTCTCCAGTTTGTACGGCGAAAAGCGTAAGCATCGCAGTTGCTACGTTGTCGTAATGGAAGGATTGCGTGTCCCACTTCCGCTTCACTACGCGCGGGAGAAGGCTGTTCGCCTCATAGACGAAATACGATCCTCTGTGGAAACACAAGGAAAATAGTGGCAATTCAGTCACAAAATTGTGAAAACAGGCTCTTTTTATTCAATGTTATCAAACTGAATTTTGTGCTTGTATATCAATGTAAAAAAATTTTTACGTAAAAATGCCTTATTTTATCGAGTGTAATCTGTAAGTGTATAAAACATCTTATTATATTTTTACTTTATTCTGTTTTACCTCATAGACGAAGTTGCTGATAAAATCAAGAACCAACATTTATAAAACAAGTATATAAAAAAGAGTTTATTCAAAGAATATTTTAAAGAGAAAAATACTTACTGGCAGTCTTGAAGAGTATTCTTACTTATATCGTTGCAGTTAAAAAATTTACCATTAAAAAGTTGAACTGCGATTACAGCGAATATAAATTGAAACAATATGTACACTATTAGAATGTTAATGACATTTTTCAAAGAGTTCACGACACAGTCAAACACTGCTTTTAACTTTGGAACACGTTTTATAGTCTTCAACGGTCTAAGCACTCTTAACACTCTTAACGATTTAATTGTTGACAAATTCTGTCCTGCCCCTTTTTTCACACCCCTGAAACAAGAATTAATATACCTCAGAAAAGTAACTTATGACAACCATGTACAATATGAACAACTGTTTAGTCTCGCTTTGATTCATTAGAATATCTCATATGAGCTTATAAAGAGGTGTTTACACTACTCGATTTTTAGTTGTGCAACTAAACAGTTGAATTGGCTGCAAAACAATCGACAATCGTACATTTGTGCGATAGTTTATTCAAAGATGGCGTACGCTCTCAATGTTTCTTGTAAAAAATGATACCTTTTCAAGGTAGAGTTTAGAGTGGTTAAGTACGTACCCGATTTCAAAACCGAAGCTGACAAGAGCGCAGATGACGACCGCGGCATCCATGATGTTCCATAGATCGCGTAAATACGCGCCCGGATGGAACAGGATGCCGAGGTCGACTATCTTCAGCAACATCTCCACCGTGAACACACCAGTGAACGCGTAGTCAAAGTAGTTCAAGATTTTATTTCTAAAAAAATACAAAAAGAATAAGAAATTTATATTTGTGAGAGAAAAAATAAATTTAAAGCTTAAATTTAAAGCAAGTTTTAATTGTATTATACCTTTCACTTTCTTCAACTACGGGATCTTCAGCCGCTAAAGCCATTGAACTCATACATATAACTAACATGATAAAAACATCAAAATATCTTAAATTTACAACCCAGTGTGCGCCTCGCCTAATTCTGTAAAAGAAACAAATATTAAACACCTTGACTATAAAGCCAAAGTTTAACATTTAAAACTCCAGAGATAAAAGTGTCTTTGCATATGTGTAGATTTAAAAAGAGAATGATGATTAAAAAAGGATTTAATGTTCTATGTTTCTAATGATTTTGTACGTAGGTTTCGACAGTGGAAATATATAGAAGAGTTGATTGAGACAAGAGAGACGGTGATTTAGAAGAGAAAAATCAGTTCTGGCACCATATAAGATAATAAAAAGTAGGTATGTTAGATACTTACGGATTGGTGGGTGATAAAATAAACATTGACGAATATGGCAGCATTGGTTTTGGTCCATCTGGTATCTCTTCTTCTTCCTTTTTGGCCTCTTCTTTCTTTTTATTCTGTAAAACATTATTATTTACTTTAATTCATTGTTTAAAGTACATACACATGCAATATAGAGTTGTAGATTTTGTTAACAAATTGGAAGAACACTTAAATTCGTACCACTATTAATTTTCAAGTGTTATTTTTCTTAATGTTTTCGATTAACTTCAAGCAGAAGCCCCTTTACTATATTTCTCATGTTTGTAATTATTTATTGATAAGATGATTTTTTAACATGCATTTTATTTGAATGAAATAATATAGTATGTACATAACAGCGTTATTAAACCTTTAAGCGATGTTAAAATTAAAATACTTGCTATTTAACCAAGAAAAATAAATTAATCACATTAATAACTAACTTTTAGTAATCTAAATGAGGTTGTTTTTTAAATTATAAAATTATATTGCTGTAAAACAGTCGACTCACATAAGCGACACTGAATTGCTTTTCTTAGACAGTAACTAAAATATTGTTGAATACCAAAAATTTCAAATATTTTCAATGATCAGATTGTGAACAGAATTTATATTCTTATCAGAATATCATAGCATATGTATAGCATTGGTGTAGTGTAAGATACAACAGTGTCAGAATTCAGTAACATTCCAATTAGTACATGTTAAATTTCATATGACATCACTATATTGTAATGAAGCTAAGGACTCATTGAGATCAACAATATTTTGTAGTGTCCGAACCAATGCACACTGTTAAGCATAGCGGAGTATCACCACCGATCTTTTACCTTCCTACTTGTAGTTGTAGTGGGACTTATGTCTACCCGAGGTGGGGTTCCATCCACCGCGTGTAATGCACCCATCTCTTTCTCCAATTCCTAATTAGCCGAAACAGAGGTTGTCGTGTGAAATACAATTTTGACCGCTTTTGAATTAATATCCAATCTAAACGATAGTACCGTTCAATGACTTAGTTTGGAATTTCTGATGAACCGAATTTTAAATAATCAAGACAAGCTCTTAAATGACATTTCGTGTACTTTATGTATATTCTAGTTTTAAATGTAAGAAGCCAGTTAATAAAAGTGATTTTTGATTTTGTTACTCACACACGAATGATAGATTTCTTCAATTTCGTGATCATACAACAATTTTAAATAAAATTGAGTTTACGAGTATATACGTCTTTTGTTTATCACATCGGGAGTTGGGCATCTGGATGTAAATAAAGCGGACATACAAAAGCTAAAAACTTACTTGAAGCTGTTTCTCTTTGTCCTCTTCAACTTGTTCCTCTTCAGCTGCCGTTAACTCCTGGAAACACAGAACAGCAACATTTATGCGGGAAGCAGCGTGAATGTACATATAGCATTTACATCAACACGACAAGAATCATTTGTATTGGCAATTCTTATGCAACGTTTTTAGACAATCTGTACAAGGTAAAAATGTAAATATTGAATCGTACCTGAGCGTTAGCCAGATTGTCAACGGCGATGGCGAGAAACACGTTCAACAATGTGTAGTTGCCGAACAATACCAAGATGACGAAGTACAAAGAATAAATCATGCCTTTCTGTATGCCTCCCTGTGATTGAATGCCGTAGTACATTACTTCATTCCAATCTTCACCTGTTAAAATCTGAAAATCAAGCATAATAATGAATTATTAATTATTCACCTTATACCAGTACCCATTAAAAGAATCGTTAAAAATAAGAATGAAGTTAGAAAATTTGATGCTTTATTACGCACCTGGAATACTGTAAGCAGTGCGATAGGAAAAGTGTTGAAATTGGTCGGCGGTGTGCCATCTTCGAAGTTGAATTGTCCTCCGAATAATTGCATACCGAGTAGAGCAAAGATAAGTATAAACAAGAACAGAAGGAAGAGCAATGAAATGATTGATCTCATGGAATTCAATAGCGATATCACAAGGTTCCGTAGGGACGACCAATATTTTGTAACCTGAAATTAAATAAGCATTACGTAAGTTTGCTCCTTTCATACAATACACATTAACGTTTAAGAAGAAACACTCACCTTAAATATTCTTAACAATCTTAGCGCTCTAAGTACGGAGAGACCAAAAGAACCACCTTTGACTTCTGACCATACCACTTCAAAAATGGAACCGGATATGACAACACAATCAAAACGATTAAACGATGATTCGAAATATATCCGTGGGCCTAAGGCATACATTTTTACCCACATCTCCATCATAAATAGCCCAAGGAACACAAATTCGGCATAGTCTGAAAAAATACCCAATTGTTGCTTATCATTGAAAATTTAGCTAGTATTTGTATAAAAATATAAACTTACATAAAAACGAAGTTAACCAAGGCGGTTGGCCGTAATGTTCGACGGCAACGCATATGGTATTGAAGAGTACCAGGACAATGACGAACCAATAGAACCACTGGGTCTTCACGGTATGCCTGATCCAAAAACGAAACCTCTTCTCAGCCCGCCAAAAGTCTGCACATTTGCCGGCTGAACGAGATTTGCTTTTCAGAAACCCTGTGTTTAAATTACATTATTTAGTAATTAGTAAAAAAAATATCTAGATACTTTGAATCTAATATGTTGCACTTATATTTACAATGTCTTATTCCCGCCATATCTGTCATTTGTCGAGACATAGTTTTAGTATTTTCAATGTTAATAAAAATTTGATTGTGCAATTTATATAATTGGAACATGTAAAATTCAAGAACCATAATTAACGTTTTTAAGGCTGCCACATTTTTTAAACATACATGAACATTTAAGTGTTACGTTTTAAGGTAACCTTTCCAAGATTAGTGATTATTTTTTAATCGAAGCGTTTGGATATTTCTAGACTTATACATATGATAAGATAATATTATATGATGAAGTAGTTTTAGTATGAGTAGAGAAGTTTGTTAGAAGTGAACAGTAGGATAGGTATGTACTACGGTGTTAGTCGGTTGGTACGGAGGGATCGCTATGCCTAAAACTACGTCTAAACTATATCCTCTACTTAGAAAATGAAAAGGAATATTCTACCAGCATCACGCTTGATCCCATACCTTGCTTTTTCTTTGGAACTGTAAACAACCAACACACAATACATCACCGATCGGAATGAAATGAGAGAGAAACAGTTTAATACAACAGATACAATGAAGTCATGCAAGATTCTAATACTTTTAAATGACCAGAATGATACTATCTATGTTAATATACATTGATTGATACTGGATAAGAAAGAAACTCTTTTAAATTTTGAAAATCTATACAGTTAGCTAAAGGAGAAGGAGTAAAACCAATACAGATGTCAGAGCATAGAATTTTTGAGGAAATGATAATATAAGTTCAACAGATATACACAACACTTAGCAAATCATGAAGGGTCAAGAACTGATGCATCATACTGACCGTCATCACCACAGTCTTCATCCTGTTCCTCTTCTTCTGTATCTGTACTCTTACTTTTACCAAGATTTTTTAACTTTTTTTTCGCTGCTGCTCTTCTCCGAGCTGGAATAAACAAAAGATTAGCATTATTAGGATATTACGAGGAATTGAGATTTTGAAAACACAATTATTGTATGATCCAAACACGAATCACTTAACGAGGCAATGTTTTAGATATATGTAAGAAAACAAAACGTGGTAGACAGCTACTATAGTAGTAGTAATTAGTTATTGAAATGAAATTAGAAATTTTACCTTCTATTATGTGCATTTTTTCTTCTTCTGTAGTTCTTTCTTCTGCTAATATGACTTCCTCTGTAATAAAAGAAAACACGTTTATTAATTCTCAAGTTAAAATAAATAGCAATTGATTTTTCCCCAAAGTCTTAACACTCTTAAAACATTAACATAGTAAGCAATCTTATTTCTCTCACCTGCTTTACATATCCACTCAACATAACCATTGAGTTCTCTCTCTAATTGCTGCTGTCTTCTTAATTTAAGAAATTCTTGTCTATTTTCTACTTTCTCTCTTTCTTTAGCGAATTCACTGCAAAATAGCATCAGAAACAATCTAGCGGCAATACGAATATACACACATTAGTCTAGCGATATCTGTGCTTAAAACAAACTTATATAACTTTTAGTTTTGGTACTATCGCCTCTAGCATAATAAAAACAATACAATGTTTAACATAAATAATAATCTACGGGTGTTGATAACATTCTCTAGCGTCACAGTTATCACTCCTTCCAACCTGCTTCTGTTATCCAATTGATATAAGCCGTGAAATCTTGATTGAACATCTGGCGAGCTCTTTCCTTCTGGAATTGAGCACGTCTCTCAACCCGTGTTCTTTCGTTAGAGAATTCACTGCGTTTTACCCAAACAAATTTAACTTAAGAGAAATTATAAATTAAATTTAAAAAGGAACAAATTATATTAAAATAAATTAATTGTAATATTGGTAAATCGTTGTAACTACATTTTCTTAAGAATACTTTAAAATTTTTAGATAGTAATGTAAACTCACCCGCTAAGAACACCGAGAACTAAGTTGAGCATAAAAAATGAACCCAATACTATGAGAGGAACAAAGTAAATCCAGTTGAACATACTACCTAACGCATCGTTTGTCTGAAACCAAATGGTGACACAATTATTATTATAAAAACACTTAGACAAAATCTATAACAAGATCTCTCTTACTTTCTAAATGCTTGCTCATTTAGAAACTACCTGCCATATAGAACCATGCAGGTCATAGGAATGCGTATTAAAATACAATGAACAATTTTGCACAGTTACCTCTGTTACTTGTTTAAGGATTTTACTAAATTTGACTTCTTACCCAATATAGGATTGATGTCCATCCCTCCATTGTAATGCATTGGAAGACGGTGAGCATAGCGAAGCCGATGTTATCGAACGACGTAATGCCCCGATTGGGCCCCTCCCACTTTTCCAAACACGTGCTCTTGTCTGCCTCGCACACGTTGGCCCCAGGGGGCGCCACTGTTTCGTTATCAGCATTACACGGCGTTGGACTCTCACCTTCATTCACTATTTCATCTGTTAAATTTAAAAAGTTCAATTAGATATCTTTAAATAACTAAAGTTAAAAGTTATGTGTTAATAAAAGTTTTTGTTTAAAATTATAACCAAATGTTAAACTTACTAATATCTTCTAAACTATAACAAGTCTTATGCAGCGCCCCGGAATAAAATTCGAGGCCGATGATGGCGAATATAACGATTGCAAAAAGCACCAAGAGGCCGATCTGTAGCAACGGCGCCATCGCCTTGATGATTGACTTCAACACAACTTGCAGACCTAGACGGGGAAAAAACCTTGTATAACAATATCCTTAAAGACGACAATACCCGGAGAATAACCCAATTCCTTAAATAAAAATGTTTTGTGAGTCATATGAAATGTTATGGAGGATGACGTCGAAATGTGTAAACTTCCTTAAAGATTAGAAATGATGAAACTTTATATCATGAACATATTTAATGATACTAAGCACAAGAATAATATTTAAACTATTATAAGGTGAAACGACAAAAGATCTAAAGGCAAAAAGAAACAATGAAAACAGTAAGACATCGACAAGTCAAAGATGATAAATAACGTGCAGATCGAACTTTGATAGGTATGCTGCTGTTCTATACGTTCCACGTAGGCTTTTTAAAGAAAATAATTACTTCATTATTATAAACGTAGGGTTCAACAGACTTTAATATTAAGATTTAACTGATAAAAGATGTTGCAGTGGATTGTATAGAACAGCAAATGGTTGGACAATGGCAAGGCTACGAATGCTAAACTAATAATGTTCTAGAACTCACTAGGAACGCCCGAAACTAATTTAAGGGGCCTCAGCACCCTAATGGCACGCAAGGTCCTGAAGTCGACGTCGGGCGCGACCGGCAGCTGCGTGATGATGCTGCCAAACACACATCACTCGATACTATAGCCTGCACTAGCAGCTAGTTAATGTAAAACTTACTACCAAGAATTGTGCTTGACATACTCCAACGTCCAATTCTCAAACTGTTACATTTGTCAAACCTTGCACTCATGTGCACGTAAGTAATTTTGAAAATTATCGTTCAACAAACACAAATCTTCTTTACAAATTTACATTTTATGGTCACACTAGCTTATTCTCTACTGTCTAGGTATTGTGACTAATTAATACAATATTATTCACACGTTAAATCATAATAATTTTAAACTAAATGCGCCATGTTTATTCACACCTATATAATAATTGTTTTAACTAAATTCTTACATTTAGCCTTTATTTGGAATACCTACACAATACACAATAAAAACAATAGCAAGTTTTAACTATTATGCAACACGTAAAATAGCCGAAATCCAAAAATTACGTACATTTAACATTGTCCATTAAAATTGTTCAAATCACACATTTCTAAAGTGTAAACGAATTCTCTCATAAATTGCAAGAAACCGATGCTACATTCTCACTAAGAATCAAAAGAACAAAAAATACTATTATCAAATCTAGAGACATAGTTCCTCTACGTCAAAAAGTTCGAAGATCGAAAATGTCTAGCGAGAATGTTCTATACAATATAAAGGTATTTATTATGTGAACTTTCGCCAATTACTGTGAATTACTTGGTATCCGCGAGACGAGCTTCAGAGGCCTCAGCACTCTGAACGAGCGCAGCATCCGCAGGTCTACGTCCACGTTGTATTCGGCGAATATCGTCATCGACCTAGTTTTTGTTATCGAAGGTTTCAGTAATCACAGCATTTACCTCTGCCCTATCTAATTCAATATCATTCCATGCTCTTTACATTCCAATTATTTGCACTCGCCAATCGTCAGGCATCAAAATAGAATTAATTCGTTCTTTTTGATTCGTTTTGATAATTGAAAAAAAATTCCGAATTTGATTGATGTGATGGCTAATATCGATTGAACTTTTGATGTAGATATATTGAAATGTTAATAAAACATCACTTACCCAGTTACTACAACGAAAAAATCCATAATGTTCCAAACGTTCCTAAGATACGATCCCCTGTGTAAAACAAAACCTAAGGCTAATATTTTTAACGAGGCTTCTACACAAAATATTCCTAAAAAGTACGCCTCGGTCTTTTCCTGAAACAAACAATATTTACATGTTAATTATCAATCATAAAAAAGAATTTAAAGCTGCATCAAGTTCTTCAGAGTGTAAATTTACTATAACAAATATGTACGTAACAAAGACCAAATTATATGGTAGTTAAAATTACACATGTGCAACATTTGTGGTGCAACGTTAGGACTTGTGATACATTTCACTTCGTATTCCGTTACTGCGTCGACGTATAACATATTTCTTTAAAATGTATAAATTTATATTTACCAAGTTCTGTGCTAAGATGGTCTTATCGCCGTTGGGCAGATGCTCCTCCAGCGCCAGCACCACGCAGTTGGCGATGATGGTCAGCAGCACCGCGTACTCGAAGGGCGGCCACTCGATGATGAACTTCGTATACCTGGAATACACCGTTATTCTAATAAGATATTGCGATTTTGACAATGATAAACAGTACCATCTATACTATTATAACAACGCGTAAACACACACTTCTTTGTTGCCTAAGATGTCAGCAATTACAATATATTTTTAAATTATTTTTTTTTTAATAAAAAGCCCTACACTTGCGTCACGCTTTATGCTATATATTTTAACGCCATTAAACTTAGGGGGTAAATATTTTGGATAAAAACCCTATTGTGGGAATGAGACTATAAGTTGCTGCCAACATCAAGAAAGCAAGGTTGTCGTCATATCTTGTTTGCAATGTTTGCATTTGATATCGAGAATTTGACAAATGTAAACAATGAAATAAAGTTTTTATAATTTCATGCGGATGAAGCCGCACGAGAACAGCTAGTTATTAATAAAATCTATAGGAGACATACTAAATAATACCCTGCCTCCTGAAACACAGTTATTACTCATTTAGGTGACAGAGTCCCACTGACTATACAAAACTGTTTTGGATTAATAAAGAATTTTTTAAAATCCATTAAAAAGTAAGCGATTCAAATGTGCTAATACTTTAATTTCTATACTTCTACACTAATGTTATAAAGAGAAAAGATTTGTATTTGTGTATGTATTAAAATGACTCAAAAATTACTAGGCCGATTTTAAAAATTCTTTCAGCATTTGAAAGATAATTTATCTGTGAGTAACATAGTCTATATTACTTAATTTTACGCGGGCGATGTCGCTAGAATTTGATATTTTCATAATTTAATGTGCACAAACGTTTCAACGACATTTTAAAGTTAAATTCAAATCGATAACATGTCTGGAATTACGTTAGTGTAGTCATAGAGTATGTTTTAATGTCATTAGGCGCATTGTGAAGTGGACGTTGTGTACGATTATAGCATTAGCTTTCTATTACACGACCCATTTCCCGCGCTGCTCACTTCGCCGGGACACCGGCATGATGCACTTAATGAGCGAGCTCACTACCGTCTCATATCAAGATAACTTAATTTATTCATAGGTATCAAAATAACTTTCATAATACAGGAAGTGAATAAAAAACTTGTTTTCAATGTTTTTTTTTAGATTATGGCGTCAGGATTATGTCGCTAGTGGCGAAATTAGTATATTAGAGGAAGTTTGAGAGTATCCCCAGTGGTTGAGAAATTAAGAAGTAAAAGGTTAACAGTATGAGCATGTTATGAGTGTGGAAGGGTACACCAGTAGACATAGACCTAGAAAGAGATGGATTGCGTGAAAGATGCGGGATCAAGAAGGGAGTGATGACTGAGATGACGGATGAGAGTTATTTGGAGGACGAAAACTCGGTGCGCCGACCCTATGGGAGTATCATAAGGTAGGGGAGATGATTATGTCGGTAGTAGAATGGTTACAATAGATGTCAATATATCGGAATGAACACTTGAAATGTCTAGTTATTTTTGCCTTTTCTATATTGCTAATTAAATGTTACTTTGTCTAAACTGGCTTTATTATCTTATGATAGAAAATATAATTTACAAAAAAATAACTAAGCAATCTAGCATAGTGAGGTCAGAGCACAGCGTCTCAACGAGTCGAATGGATTAACGTGCCTTTCGAAGCTTGAAGGCGCTCGAGAACAAATACTAAAGCGCGCAGCGTTCGGCCCGCTGCAACTTGACTTTGATGATCGCTTAAACTATCGCCCATCGAAAGAGCTTTTCATCATTTTGTTTCTAAATAAAATAATATTTATAGTACGCTGACTTTTTTAATAACTGTTTAACTATAAAGTGAGCTACTTTTAAATGAGATGCTCAATGTATTTCTTTCAATGTTTTGTGTGAGTTTTATCTTGTGATTATAGATATATTTACATTAATAACAAAACAAAAAAAATCTGCTAAGTTTCTGAAAAATTGAACAATACAATTACCTAAAGTTATAGTTTTGTAGTTAAAATTATTTTAATAAGTGGGATGAACTTTAGAATTTTAACGTAAAATGAAAGTCTATTGATAATTAGGCTTTGGTATGGAACAAGTGATAAAAAGGTTGCTAGTCATATAAAATAATTATGAATACGTACCTCCGTATGGGATTTTCGTCGGAGAATATGAAGAGCGAGCTGGGCCCCGGAGTAGCGGGCTGATGCGCGCCGCCCATGGTATCAGCTGGCGCCGCACGAGCCTGCGCGCCCGCCGCCTCCTGCGCTGCCGCCAACCTGTAATACGCGAACATACCATTCTTATTACACTAATAAGTTACAATATTACTACACCGAACTCCGACAAAATGCACATGCCTCTCCACTTAATGAAAAACTCCATAAAAGTATCAGTTTACACAAAAACACAATTTTAATCTAGTTTTCAGTGAAACAATTTTATAGTTTTTTTAATAGTGAATGAAAAAAACAGTAGCTTTTATTAAAACAGTAAAATAAGTAATTATTGGTATGTTAATGCTCAAAAGTATTCCACAAGAATTGTCCGTTAACTTCCTCGATGTTCAGTCAAATTCAATGGGAATAAGCTAGCGTACCCATGTATAGAATTTCACCTTTATCGGGATGTTATCACAGACTTATGAAAAAAATTGTATTATTTTTAACACTGAAACGTTTCAAATCATATCCATACAGTAAATTATATTGCCGGCCAGTGTTGTGTTACAATTTCACATTTCCACTGAACTCGACTTCATTGAAATGCATTCAACCTTTTTGTATTCGCGTTTTCTTTTTAATTAATTAATAGAAGTAAACAAGTGTTAAAACGATTTTAATTTTCATTCTCGATATTTAACGACAATATTGTGGTTAATTGACGGTCGCATTTACAACGTCCAACATTTTCCCTGCGCTCACAAAAGTCATTATTTCATTATAACACGCCACGCGGTTATTGAAGCTATTAAAAATTAAAATTATTTATATCATATCGGCTGCTCGCGATCTTGTTTTTATCCCTTTAGCTTTTGCACATTTTAATGTAAATGATTTGTACGTTATTAAAACATTTAAAGCCATTTTTCCTAATAATTTTTAAACGAATTTTATTTACATTTGTTTATATTTATTAGTAAATACAGGTACTATCAAATTTAAAACGCTTTCACCGTGTTAATTCCTTCAGTCTCATAGAACGGTTAATTTCTTCAGTTCAACGAACTTGAATAGATTATAAAGGTTCGATGATTATTATTAATTGGCTCATTAGTGATATGAGAGTTTTAGTGAAAAAATAAAACATTTTAAAATGTATAGTATGTACATGTTGACTATACATGTACATGTATAGTCAACATGATAGTACAAATAGTACAAATATATAGTACATTATTCAGACTTTTATTTGGTCTGATCAGCAGCTGGCAGCTGTTCCTAAAACTTTTGACTGAATCAATTTTAATTTTAGTATAAGAACATACAACAATACAATATGCATTATAATGAAAACGAATAACTTTCCTTATATTAGGAGTAACGTACAGTCAACTAAATAAACATGAAATACTAGCTGTTGCTTGCGACTTCGCCCGCGCGAATTAAAAAAAATATAAACATAGCCTAAGTTACTCAGGGATAACGTAGTTTTTAATGGTGAAAGTATTTTTGAAATCGGCTCAGTAGTTTTTGAGTTATTACGATACATACGAAAATACAAATCTTTCCTCTTTATAATATTAGTATAAATTTATAAATATGTCTACACTTGTCTGCCCGTTCCCACCATGTTTATACTTTTAACGGATAAAAATATACAGTATTTTTTAAACCGAATACCCATACAAAACTAAAGTTTAAGAAATGTACACATTTATGCAGCTGACTGTACCCGTATACTGTTGATTGATATTTAATGCATAGTCTATTAGCGTAGTCAGTGTGCTTTCATATTATCTAAGTTATGCATAGATTGAATAGACAGGCGAAATGTAGGTCAGTGCCTCGACCGTTACTATAACAGTGGTGCGCCTCATGCCTGTGCTCTTTGGTCTTCGTAGCGAGTAATTCTATATAAAACAGCGTATATTTGCACAGAAAATCGGACAAGTTATGATATATGTTCTGAAATTGATTTTTGAACTATCATTATATTTGTACAAAGTTTACCTAAGAGGTTTTATTATTTACACAGACATAAATTATGGATGGCAAATAATACGCTTCATCTCTTTTCTGTCATAATCAAACCCTTCCCGTTGATTTAAAATATAACCTTTTTACTCAGTGATAATTTTTTAATTATCAAGTCATTACAGTCGTTTCGGAGCCTATTCAACAAAGCTACAAGAATTTTCTCTTCCTAATATTAGTATCGATAGATTGGATTATCTCGGAGTATCTAGTGGAAAACACCAATGTAGTTTAAAAGTCATGATAAATGTATTAAAGCATTCCCATTTTCGGTAAATTCAGGTGTCCACATTTTTCAATAGGCGCCTTAAAAAAACTTATGACATATTGATACTTATCTTTACTTCTATACTATTATAATAAAGCGTAACACACACTTCTTTGTTGCCTAAGATGTCAGCAATTACAGCACATATTTGAATAATTATTTTTTTAATAAAAAACCCTACACTTAGGTCACGCTTTAGGCTATTCATTTTCACGCCAAATAACTTAGTGGGTAAATGTTTTGGACAAAAAGCCTAATTTGGGAAAAAGACCATAAGGTGCTGCGAACATCAAGGAGGCAAGGTTGCCAAGTTTTGTCATGTAATGTCATTTTGACATTTGCAATTGACAATTTGACACATGTAAACAATAAAATAATTTTATGCTGATGAAATCGCACGGGAACAGCTAGTGATATAAACGAGCAATCTAAACCGTTGTCGTGTAATATGATAATACATTTCTTTCTATCTTAACCCTTCATATAATTGTCACGCTACGAAGTGGTAATATAATGAAAGTTGTAAACTAGTTGCATATATTATGTAAAACCTACCACATGATATGGAAATGAATAAATAGATGGAAATTTAATTAGTGCTCCATACATTTTAGTTAGGAAGGATTTAATATAAAACAATTAAAGAATATCTCTAAAAATGTTCGTTATTCTAAATGAAAACCTCTAAAAAATTAAAATAACAATAAACAAACTTGTAAAGATGTAAAGACTGCGTGCCAATGCCAAATTGAAAACAAAGCTCATCTTATGCCTGAAAGTTTAGGTGTACTGAATGTGGACTGATCAGCATCAGCTCCATGACGAAGATGCTTTTTCGTACTTCAGTAAATTTATAACCTACTAGCTTTCGCCCGCGACTCCGTTCACGGGGAATTAAAAAAAAACAAAAGTGAGTAGCTTATGTGTTCTTCCAGACTATCTTCTACATCAACACTAAATTTTATCGAAATCCGTTCAGCCGTTTAAGCTACAAACTCTAACAAACATCCATCCATCTAAACTTTCGCATTTATAATATTAAGTATGATGTATGTATGATTCAATCCATAGCCGACTTAGTGAAATGATCCAACGCTCCAATACATTGAAATAATTCAGCATGTTCTTAAATATACGACTAGCAAAAGATTAGCTAAACAAAGCAAATAAAAATAACAAATGTTTGTAGATAACAAAGACTCAGTCTGCACTCAGTTTCATTTAACTTACTACACTTTTTCACCGCTAGATAAATTCAAGTGAAAAAGTAAAAGTCACGGAACGTACATTAAATTAATTAAGCCGAGTCGGTGTGTTACGAACGGTTCGGTACACCCGGGGGATGATCGCTGTAGATTGAATGTGTTTCCCTTGACCGGAAGTCTGTGTTTATGAATTTTGAATCATTTTTTAATTATAAATTACTTTTGAATTTGGAATTTCGCTTAATTCCAAATTTGAAATTAAAAAAAGCTGACTATAGAACGACGAATTATTATTTGAATAAAAATAGATATTTATATTGAGAGATATGAGAAACAGAATTCACGAGAAACCTAATGGATACTGTATTCCTTTATACGTATAACTTTTAACAACTCTTGCTTCTTAGAAATTGAATCGATTTTAAACTTCATAAGACTATTAATAAGTAAGCGTAAACATCTTAGATAACATGTCTAGACAGTTATGTAACAATTTCAATACTTCGATGTAACATTAAAGTGATATATTTAAATATAACTGTATGTATATTTGTCCGTCTATAGAGGAAATCAGAAGCGGGAGGTAGCATTGTGGAAGCGTCTATTGACCGCAAACGAATGCAAGCTCGGTATAGAAAATCCGCTAATGTGATTCCATTGTGAAAAGAAAATATAGCTAGATTTAATACATTACGATGTAATCAGGCCCGAGTTCTGAGCGAAGGATTCCTTTGCAAATGGATAATCTATAAATCTATTAAATAAATATATAGTTTTTACGATTTACGGAAACCATTTCTTTAAATTAACATTTGTATCCCAAAACTTAAATAATTAGAAATTTTTGTAACTTAATACGCAAAGGTAGAAGATCAAGATTATAGACGATATAACATAATTATTGTGTATTATTAAAAAAAAAAGTTATAAAAAAATCAAACCGTTCTAGCTCAAAATGTTCTTATAACACTCATATATACATACTCGCGAAAACATTGTCCAAAAACTACGTAGCTGTTTACATAACCTACATAACAATATTTTACTTACGTTGGCATCTCCATAGTTTCCTGATCATTTGTCAAAGAACTAATATTTTTTGCACTTAGAAGTACAAATAACTTTCACTGAAGTATACAGTAACAAAAAAATAATTTAAGAACACAGACATCAGAGCTAAATGACTGACAAACGTCAAAAGCAATCGATTAATAAACAAGACTACCCACAATAAGATTTATTATCAAACCTAGTGAAAAAGATCTGAAAAAATAGCATTAAATTGTGTGGTGCAAACTATAATCTTTTAATTTATATTGAGACTATCTATTCCTGTGCGGTTTCATCCGCATTATATTATAAAAACTTTATTTTATTGTTTACATTTGTGAAATGTCAAAATTGAAATGCATTAATGATAATCTTGATTCTATGATTGGCAGCTGGTAGTTTATGGTCCCTTACCCACGTGAAGGTTTTTTCCAATTCATTTACCCTAAGTTTAAAAGTGTGAAAATGTATAACTTAAGCGTGTCGTAAGTGTAGGGTTATTATAAAAGACATAATTATTCAAAAATATTCTGTGATTGCTGAGATCACGAAATAGTGTG